AGATCTGGCACAAAATGATTATAAACACAAATAATCCTGCTCTAACAGCCATCTGTCCAAGATAATCACCTGCACAAATGACCACTCCTACAGTCCTACTCCGCTCCTTGCATAAAAAAAAAAAATAACGACACTGTTCTAGAATTTCACTTAAAACAACCTCTTTTCACCTCAACAATCCCCCCAAATAGACCTACCTCTTCATGGTGCGGGGGGATTAGTACTCTTCAAACAGGAAAAGAAAAAGAGGAAGCTAACGGGTCAAGGGGTGACCCCCAAAAGAGACATATTACTTTACTATGTATCTTACTCTTTCTATTTATTGTTTTTATTGTTTTACTTTATTACATTTTATTATTATTATTCTCATTATAATTACCAATTTTCTTTTCTCCTCTCTCCATCGACAACCTTTCTTTGACCTGGAGTTGGGACGGGTATTGGTGGGGTGGGAAGCAGAGGTTCATTGTCAGCACTGTACTGGATGTGACTCTACGTAGGGAATACCCAGCTACATACATGTATTAAGCATGCATTTATCGGAGAGCCCTATGACTGCGGAGAAGGTGCAGAGACCATTTGCGTCTTGCTTGTCGACAACATTAACCCTCTGGGACCTGCCATGCCTTCCCCTGCCCCCATCTCTGGGATGAGAGGACTTGGTTGCTCTGGGAGGGGGGGGGGGGAAATCTAGCTTCCAATTGGTATTATTATTACTATTATTATTATTATTATATTATATTATAATTTTTGTATTTCAGCAACACACAGCAACTATGCTCTTAAAAGCGTCTTTCTCTTTTTTATCTGCTCAAACAACTTTTCAATATAATACAACAGACACCAACATACCCATTCATTTTTCTTACAATCTCTCTGTGATGGAGTTGGGTTTTTGTTAGTGGCATTGCACCTACAGCCACTGCTTTATCTCCTACCCCAGGATGGAAGGAAAATCACAGAACCACCAGTTTTAAATGCTATACTCCTCAACAATGAGTGTCCATCTTACACAATTTTGACAGTACATAGTGAGCCATTGTCAAAGAGAAAATTGGCCATCTTATACAGGTGGCCGCCTTACACAGTACCATTATAATGTAAAGAAAATGCAAATGGGGGAGGAGACTGGACAGTGGTCGTTTGTACTACAGATTATCTTATAAGAGCAGGTTCAACTGTATGTATATACGAAGACTAAGTAATTAGCGATATCTAGGTCTGCACTAGAAATTAATATGAAGCATTAGAACATTGCAATCAATCTCTTCAAAAAGGCGTCGTATTTGAACAACTAGGCATTGCTAAGAGAAAAAAAACCCCTAGTACATTATCAAACATTCACAATCAGGGATGGTGCTTACATCAAAAGACTTCTTGATTTCACAACCAGCAAATCTCTACCATGATATACTTTTTATGAGAACAAATGTTGACATTCACAGTATGAACACAAGCATTGACCTAAAAGGCAATGTATTTAATTGAACCTGTGTACCAAAGAAAAGAAAAAAAAAATGTAACTCTTTGAAGACGCATCGGTGGATAATCCTCTGACATGGGAATCTACCATTGTCGCCTTGTCAGGGGACAATCTGCTGACGATTTTCAATGTGTTTATTAGCTTAACTAGTGGTCTAAGGTGGACAACCCCTACATCACTGGAAAGCTCGTCCAAAGCCCTATAATTGGGTTGATTCGTTTTATTTGTTTTTGACTTAGAATCGCTTTGCATGGCTTTTGTTTTAGGCCCATTGTTTCCCACGAAATGTCGCATGCACAGTTTCTATCCAAATAGCGAGCTCCAAGCGACGTGGTTTGATACGGACTGAAGAAGCTTTGGAGTTGTTTATGGATGATGGATGAGGAGTTAGATTTAAAATTAAAAGATGAAAGTTCAAAAGATAGTGATGATGAATCTGAACCATTAATTGATAGATCTACCCGACCCCCAAGTCTCATCTTGTCGAGAATTTTTTTCTTTTAAGGGCATTTATAGTGATCTTGAAGCCTTGATCAAGGTGAAGCTGGTATTGTGAATGTATGATTGATTGGTATTAGAGCAAAAAAGAGAAATTGTACTTTTTAGTGGTGTAAGTGTGATTTTTGTACTGCTGATAGGGAAAAAATGGTGACCTGATAAAGAAGGGCAAAGAAGATGTGCCACAGGGTTATCGGAAAAGGGAAAGTGGGTGCGTCTCCAAAGAGTTAACTTCCAATTGTCTTCATTTGGTTCACAAAAAAAGCTTCCTGATTATTTTAACAGCTCCTAGAAGAGCACACTTACTCCCTCAAAGAATAAAACAACGTGATAGTCAAATCTGAGTTCAGTGAAAACAGTCTTCATTAAAAAAATATGGTCAAAGAAGATTCCCTGATGCCAAAAAAACGTTATCATTGATGCTTGAAGGGTTTAAACAACTGGGTCTGTATCTCATTCTTTTATTTGAATAATGGTCCAACGTATTGACTTTGAGACATGTTTTTATTAGCAATGTCGGAGATCTTTTCGAACTAGGATGGGGGTATCTTTCAGAAAAAGTATGGCCAAAGGAGAATCCCTGATGTCACAAAATGTTACAGCTGATGCTTGGATGGTTTAACAAATTGGAAGGATTCAAAAGGAAGTATGAGCGGGAAAACAAAAAGCAAACAATGACCGAAAAATGCAATATATACCAAAGGAAACAAAACCAATTAAAAGCAAATTACAACTGGGTATTGCATAAAAAGGAAAACAACAGATATAAAGGAAGTTTGTTGAAAAAAGATGAACAGCAGAAATGGCACAAAATTCTATTCAACAATCATACATTTTACAATATTGTAAGAATTACAGATAAGTTTATTTCAATAATTGGGAGTGTATAAAGTTCAACAGTACTCAAAGCACAATCTATGTCTGCGAAGATATTTTCGATCTTTTTTATATAAGCTTATATAAATAACATTATTTGAAATTTTTATGGCTAGAGTATCACATACAGCAAACATATCTAAACAATGAAAACAGTGACATTTCAAACAAAAGAATACAGTAATAATCTCAAGAACAGACTCATAACATTAACATAAAAGGACATTTGTTGAAACAATTTGGGTCACAAAACAAAATTCCTGGATAACGTTTTAAAGCATACAAAAGTACAGTCAAGCACAGGTAACTCAAACACGCAGAACTCCAATTAATGGATATCTCACACAATATGCCATTCTCAAGGTAATTCTCAACTGTACCGTTATATTTTCTCTACATAGGTAGCACTGTTTTCTCGAACACCCACATGGTTGTTTTGAACAGCTCATCTGAAAAAGCCTGCCTGATCAAAGTTTTTCTTACAATTGTCACGAATTCAAATTGCCCTGCACACAGAATGGAAAACAAACACACCCATCATCATCGAGAGTATCGGGTTCTATGAGCCCAACTGGCTCCTCCCTGCACAGCATCATACACACACTGCTGGAATAGAGACACATCATCACCAGGTGCGGTTCGTCCATAGAGTACAGTCGTGCAGTGCTGCCAACATTTTTAAAAATGTTTTATTACGTAAAACACCCACAATAATAAAATAAAAGAAGTCAGAACCAAACACTGGCTAAATATTATATCAAAACAAGGTCCTCACTGGCGCCATAACTATCATTTCTGTGTCTATCGCGCCGTAAAACATCTACTATGCCATGCCAAAGTCCACGCGCTTTAGCTTAACATAATAGGATATTCAACAGTGTAACCTGACCTATAAATCGCTCTTGGGGATAACCCAAGCGATGACGACACTGGTAGTGAGTTTGGCAGTACATTAGTATTAATAAGACGGCACATCTCAAATGAGCTCCTGACGAATAGTGCCGAAACATAGCCCTCAGTAAGGCAGTCTAAAAATAAATGCGATTGACCGTACGCTATTCTTTGCCAATATTATGTGAGCCCCGGAGCAATCCAGCGGAGTGCTCAAGTGAATTGTGATTGGTTCATTGTCTGTCTTGCCACTATTTTAAGTGACTCTGTGACCGTGAACCTGAGGGAGGTGAACGTGACCGTTCTACAAGTTGTGTCTTTGAATGATTTTGTAGTGGGGTAGTGAAAGTTATTACTAGAGTGTTCAGTTCCAATACAGGATGAACGAAATTGATGTTTAGCTAACAAACAAATTTAGTACTAAAAATTAAAGCGACAAGTAAAAATAATGAAAATAAAAGCACGAGGTCCTCCCTCACCAACACAAAGATCTACAATTATGCACCATCACATTTACTATGCCCTTGAGTATCTTCAGCATGCGATAGCTTAATTGTGCACGTCCACTTTTTAACCCCACGAGCCGCCCCTGATCATCACACAATACCTGAAGTGTTTGTTCGGTACTAGAACTTTCTTGAGCCTAGTCAGGTAAGGGAAAAGGCTGGGTATTGGGGTGTGATTGAAGACAAACAGTGTGGTGCAGCACTGGGGCATATGCTGTGTGAATTAAGTTTGTGTTCATGTGCCTGTGTGTATATGTGTGTCTTATGCGTTTATGTAGGTGTGGTTGTTTGAACATGAAGGTAAGGATTGGGAAGTGATTATACCAGAGGGATGGGTGACATGCTCTGACCAGTGTTGGTTACATTTTCATGATTATGATGATCTCTTCCTGTCTTTTTCTTTGACACTGAACAAGGCGCATGCATTATCCATTCTTCGATCTTTTTATTAACACCAGGTGCTCTTCATAAAGGTCGAGAAGAGAAAACATCAGTTACTTGCCTTGATTTTTCCTCAATATCTCTCTTATTTTATGTAATGATCCTGGTTTACTCAAATTACGGATGTGTAAAACACATTTGTGAGGCGTGCTGACAAAATGAGTTACTTCTCGCAATCCACAAATGGAGATATTGGCCACAAATCGACACCAGGGTCAAATTTGTAGATTCTCTGTTGATACCGTATTCTTTAAGTATAACGTGCCTTATATTATTTCATACGTATAAATTGTGAAAACTTCACCTATAAGTGTGATGTAGCGATTTCCATAGGGCTCGAATCCGAGAAGAAACTCTTTTTGTCAGCACCCTTCACATTTGTCAACCCCTGACGTGTTTGAGGTATCAGTGCTCGACTGTATACTGACAACAAAGCATTACATAGAAGAGAATATTTTCACAACTATTTCAATCTTGAACACCATGAACAAAACAAAACAAAGTAGAGTTCCTCAAGACCTTTAAGGTCCATACAGCCAGCTCCCAAGGGAAACAGACAGCAGTATGGAAACCCTTGGACAAGACAATAGTCTGTTGTAGGCCTATTCCCCGCTCCTTAGCCAGGGAGGGGAAAGGAAACCACTAATTGAGTAGAAATACGCCAAAATACAACTGAAATCTGAAACACTTAGAAGGCATTTGAAACAAAACTCACTGTAAGAGAACTTTTGTTTTATCGGGGAACAAACCGAACTGTAACATCCCTGTCTGGTACTTGAAGTAGTCGGTAACGCATATTCACCGGTCCATGGTGCCACTCCAGACGATAATGAGACAAAAGTTTGGCCAGCATCATGACCAGCTCCTGCTCAGCAAATCGCCGTCCTAAAAGGAACATAAAAAAAGATTTTATGAAACAATTGGGGGAAATTTTTCTAAAATCATAGCAACAGACAAGAAGAAGGGAATGTTCACAGAGAGCAATAAAGGTAGATGGTAGACTAGTTTTTCAACAAAAAAAAAAAAAGAAAAATTATAAATCTAGCCACTCTCTTGAATGACAGAATGAATATATGCCCTGACACAACATTGATTTAGGTTTTTGTTATCTTGGTTATGAATGCATAAGTTAACTTCTGCAGCAATCCTACTACACATCATTGTCCTTTCCATGAGGCCATAACACTGAGAATGACAGGCAAATTCTACTTCTGCTTTGTACACAGCAGAAAAATTCATCAAAAGAGTGGTGGAAAAGAGAAAAAGTTGTTGCTCATTGACAACACTTTGATAGTGTTTCATTATTTGGGGGGGGGGGGGGGGGGGGGGGGGGGGAGTAAAAATTGCCATGTGAAGAAATTACAGCCTCTCAAAATAATTCTCAGCACATAGAGTGCAAAGTGGATTGAATTGCAGAAATAAAGCTTTGTATCCTCTGCACAGAAACATCTTTTTGGGAATACTCCATCTATGTTGTGTCATTGATGTTCCAAAAGCATCCTATTTCAAAATCAAATGCAGCCATAACAGCAACAATAAAACAAAAGCAAAGGGACTTAATGGTTCTGATTTGATATAATAGGGCTTTTCTGCACACTCATATAAATCAACTAGCCAAGTGGTGTTTACCTGCACACATTCTTGTACCAATGCTAAAAGGTATAAGCAAATATGGGTGGGTCTTCTCTGTGCCAGTCTCCTCCCTCAGCCATCTCTCTGGCAGGTACTTTTCTGGCTCAGCAACATACTTTGGATCATGTTGGCTGACATGTGGCTCCAAAACAAGGTAAGTCTAAACAAAGCAAAACAAAACAGGAGAGGCAAAGTAAGACAACTATTTATTTACTCAAACTATCTTTAGAAAGAAATAGTCTTTCGTCAATCTCAACACTGAAAATTAACAGGAATTAATCAGTCATACAACATTATATCATACGTAAGGCACAATTTTTAGAAATCCTTGAACTGTTATCATCCAGATAATCAAATCTCAAGTACCTAAAAGAATTTAATACAGTGACTAGAAAAAAATCACATGGGATGCATTTTTACTTCCTTTCAGTCCTTGTGCTTTTCCAACCCACAGCCCAACTCATGATATATAGGTGGTCATTCCCCCTACATAAGAGTTTGGTATTCTTAGCTTTTGAGGCAGTAGTGTTTTATTATTATGCTTACAAATACTTTCAACATTTTATGTTGACAAAAGAGTTTTCTGCCAGAATCAAACCTACAAAATGCTCGGATTGTTTCAAATTTATCTCTAGTATCATACTTTCAATCCCAATAAAAGAAGGTACCAGTTCAGCAACAATCCATGATTGATTTTGTTGTTGTTGTTATCGATCAAGCAACAGCTGGGATCTCACCTTTATGTCCAGTGCCATGATGATTGATTATAAATGTTTAATATTCCAATCAACAGAAGATCAATTAAGAGGTGGAATGCATTGAACCTGCCTGTCAGGACAAACCAAGGCCAAGCAGGATACAGCATCAAGCAGAAAAACAGACATGCATGATAAAAAAGAACTCTACAAGCTGGAATCAAATGAACATCTTTGTCGTGCAACTGATGCTGGTTGCGATATCATATAACGAGCTTTACCAACAAAAAAACAAATCAAGTCATACCCCTTCTGGAACTTGATAGCCTCCGATGACCATGTTTGCTGGGCATAAACGCTGAATGTCAATACCAATAGGAAGAAATCTGAAAAAGAATAACTCAATTCAGTTCCAGTAATCCTAATTTTATGTAATCTGACAGAAGTAACACACCCGATTCATCAGTTCAGTATGCAAGCACTCAAGAAAAATTATTCTCTCAGGATGCCCTAAAGGACCAATATGCACAAGTGCAAATAATGACTTAAAAAATCATCTATTTTTATAGTTTGTGCCACCTAAAGTGGTTTCAAGAAGTGCAATCGATAATAAGTTTCATGGAAAAGAATAACAGTGTTACCCCCATCGAAATAAACAAGAAAACAAAAAAACAAATAGATCAAATTCATACTCTCCAACATTTCAGATGATATCAACAACTATGCAGACACAGCATTACCATAAGATAATCTGGTAGAGATCAGACCATTCATTTACAAAGACAAGCTGACATATGGGTCTGAGTTAAAAAAAAATTAAGTCTATGTGTACAAAGCCCAAATTACAGCCATGGGAAATTTTAAAAAAATAAATTCCCTAGAGTCAATATGTCAGATCCATCACTGCTAAATTTTATCCTGTCTTCCATTTCAGTACTTGAAATTTCAGGGAAATCCACTTCACTAAGACAATTGAAAAGAAGTAAAAAACAGACTCATCAAATTTCAAACCATTTTATACTCTAGACATTGTTACCTGAAAGTCTCTTTAATGCAGGCTTTAATGTATCTGGAAGAATTGAACCCCTCCACTGTGACATCACCAGACGAAGATAAAATAGTATTTGCCTCTTCATAAGCCCTGTCTTGAGCCTCTGGATTGTTTGCCAGCATGTACAAGTTGAAAAGTAAGGCGAATGAAGTCTGAACGAAAAGAACAGACATAGATGAATTATGATATTTTTAAAAATTGCATTATTTATATAAGCAAAGATTTTTTTCTTCATGTAATATTTATAAAAGCAAAGATTTTTTTCTTCATGTAATAATAATAATAATAGATAGCATTTGTATAGCGCAAAGACCCGCTCAGCAGCAAACTATGTGCTTTACAATCTATATTTTTACCCCTTCAGACCTGATAGCATTCTGAAACAATCTCAATTTCCTGGGAAGCTGCCATTTTACAGGCCCTAGAACACTAACATATTGACAATATCTATCACTGTCTATGGCCGAGTACCCATTCCCACCTGGGTGAAGTGAAGAAAATTTATATAAAGTGTCTTTCCCTTGGACATATAGTCGGGCCTGAGGCTCGAAACCCCCGAACCCGCAACCTCAAAAATACAAGTACGGTAGCCTAACCACAAGACTACTGTGTGTACAAATACAAAACTGGCTATAAAGTTGACATATTACTCGAGAGACAAAAATTTGTGAATAATCCAGAAATTTTCATTTAGCCGAATAATGTATCTTTTCATCATGAATTACAATGACATTGACAACGGCGACAGAAGTCGCCATGAGAAACTTGTCCATCAAAAGCTACCTAGTCTATGCAGATTGTCCAACAGGATAACACTTTTTTTTTTATTGTCATGTGCTGGTCCAAAATATAACAGTTAAAGATTGCTATTGTTGATCTTTATCCACAAACACCTTTTAATTTCTTATTTTTTCACCTAAGCCTAAACATTTATCATTATATTTATACATGCATAATATACAGAATAATAATATTAATAATAATTTGTGTGTGTGTGTGTGTGTGTGTGTGTGTGTGTGTGTGTGTGTGTGTGTGTGTGTGTGTGTGTGTGTGTGTGTGTGTGTGTGTGTGTGTGCGCGCACATGCACGCATGTAGAAGAACATCAACAGTATAAACCCTGTCCTTTATTAATAAAAGTGAAGTTTTTAGGACAGATCTTAGCTTTCTGTTGCCACACTACACTTCTTTTACTTTAGAGCAATGCCTGTACCAGCATAGTGAAGAAATGGTCAGGTTTTTATCGCATTTGCAATTGACATAATTCTGATTCCCACACTGGGAAAATGTTTTAGAATGTACCTCCATCTTCTTACTGGCATCTAATATCCCTTACAAACCTAACATGAGGAACAAAGCAGTCTGCTTCCTAAATTATCGAAGCTGTGTTGAAGAGGGTGTAGAATACTGAAAGCCGAAGAGTAACACCCACTAGCAAAAAGGAGAGCTTCTAGGACATTTCTTCCTCGTTTTACTGACAAAATGACCCCATACTACCTGTGATTTCAGAAATAAGATGTTTAATTTTTATAAGAACTTGAAAGTAAAATAGAATTCTAAGTTAGATAAAGGCGACATTTTGAACATTCTTTGAGTATATTATCATTATCTCTGTTCTGACTTCATACACGATTTTCATTTGCTCACCGTGCTTAACGTGTCTGTGAAAACAGAGTTGACAACAGCTGCCATGTCCTTATAGGACACGCTATCGTTGCTTAACATATATGACAAGAAGCGGAACCTGTCATCTGTTAATTCTCCTGAATTTAAGACAATTTCATAGTCCTTTATTGCCTCCTTCAGAAGCCGCTCTCCTTCCCTGTCAAAAGAAAAAGAGGACTAAAAATTAAGTAAGCCGCAATACGTACAGCTTGAACACATAATTGCTACATTAATTTAAGAGACTCAAAGCTTAAAACACATCTTGAGCACAGCATCTGCATTCTTTATACCATTTTTTTATATTCTGCCATCAGCATTTGGGTGAACATATGAATCTATGGCTGACTAAAATCAATGTTCATAGATAGTTTCACGTGTACATTGGAAATGCTGCATGTACTTGCTAAAGGCAGAATCACAGCAAGCCAGCACTAGTAGCATATACATTGCATGTTGGAAAGATAAAATCAGACTAAGGGTCAATTCTCACCAAGATTTTTTAACCAAGGACCTGACATTACAAAGTAAATATTCTGGGAGACTATCTTTTCACACTTATTAACTCACAACAATTCAAACCATCTTTATTGACCCATGTAAGCAGATTTCTTTTACAATGACAAGTACAACCATCAATATTGCATAATAAAAACATTCTCAGCACGCCATTGCTGACCTGGGCAGAGTAGGGCCCTTTTTTTTCTTCTTTTGTTGGGGGGGGGCGGGGTAAGCTCAGTTAATGTACTTTAGTTAAGGACACATCCAACTGCCATTTAACTGCCATTCTTCAACACTCGGGGCAAATCTTGTGTTGCAGATCCACTAGACATATACAGCCCCACTAGCAGATGTACAGTTCAACTCTTCACAATTTAGAAACATTCTGTAATAAAAATGCACCCAACTTACCCTAAAATGAAGTCCTCACACTCATAGATTCTCTTCATTCCGTGAGTGGGAAAGAACTTGTAAAATGGAAGGGAAAAGAAGAATTTGGAAGACAAGTCAAAGACATCTGAATTACTCTGGATGATTTTGTCCGCAACAGCATGACCAGTTTCCTCCAGAAAACCCATGCGACGATCGAAAGTGATATTGGCTGCAGCTGTTGAAGAACTCTAGACTTAATTTTCGGCAACACATCAGCATGAAACATATTTCAGTTTGATATGCTTAGTATACCTACGAAAACATATAAAACAATAGTAAAAATTTACCAACAACAATACGTAAAATAATAAAAATAATGGTACTTATTAGCACAGCGGCCTTTTACTTTGTGAGCACTAAATGAGCTTTACAGAAAAGATTACCCAAATAATTCTACATACATTAATTTGTTGATCTCTTTTTTCTCTTCCATCCATACATACACACACCCACACATGCATGCATGCACACACGCACATGCATACACACATACATTGATATGACAAACAAGTGATTAGTTAAAAACCTTTTAAAGCTCTTACTCAGTGGTCCTGATAGCTTTTTGGTGTGGGTTTTTTTTTCTAAACCAATGGAACTTTGTTAAATAAAAGACTATTGCAAACAGTTTAATTAGCTATGGTTCTACAGGGATAAAAACTAACATTGGGTATGCCAACTAACTTTTTCAAAACTTAATCGGGGACACCCAAAGCTACAACACCAGATTGCAAAACACTAAACAAAATTAAATTAAATAAAATGGGACTGGTTTTAGTGTAGTGTACTGTATATGACAAGGTTCTCAAATTTCTGATTTGACAAAATCGGGACATTCCCATGAAAAATTTGGGCCAATTGGCAAGCCTGTAATATGAATCACTGCATCTTTACACTTGACAGAGGGATAGTCCCAATCAGGGTTCCCACTCATCAAGAAGAAAAAATTTCCAAGTTTTTACCCCCGTTGTCTCTTGGATTTTGTAACCATTTTCAAAGCGATTTTTTTTAAAGATGACAGAGCTAGAAAGAAAAAATGAAGAGAAATGCAAGATACATCTAATTCGTAACATGACCATGGACAGTCTGTTTTCTTGAGATGTCAAGGACAGGGGTCATAGAATAACTGTACCAAAAACAAAGTCATGATGAAAGAGGACCCAACGGGCTTGTCATTGAGGAGTTTGGAGAAAAAAAAGAGGGTTGGGGGGGAGTGTTGTGTATTACTAATTGGGTATTGGCTTTCCCAACCAGAATCTGAAAACGAAATTTCTGGCTTTTTCCTGTTTTCACAGTTGAGTGGGAACCCTGTCCAATGCAGATGGGAAAATCAGTATTTTCCACAAGAGGATTTGCTATGCAAAGCTGCTAGATTTATTCGACTTAGTTGTCACTTGGGTGTCTCAACTTAAAGTGAACACTGTTTATCCTAACATATATCAAGTGGATATGTCAAAATAACTCACATTCAAGACCCCATCTTGCCACCCACCGGTTAAAGTGAGGCACTTCTCTGTTTTCGTCTAGAATAGATTCTATCTTGGAGATAAAATCATTGGCAACTTCATTCTGCATTGGAAGATAGTCAAAGGCTTTCTGGGGCCGAAGCATGACTTGTTGAACGACACTTCTTAGTTTGTACCACTGCTCTCCATTGCTGTAATAGACGCAGAATTTTATATTGAAGACAATGTGTATGCAGCAGGATTGTGTCTTGCTTAACAAAGTTGTTTCCTAATAATGGGACACATGAAGAAAGCATTAGAATGGCTAAAAATTGAGATTTTTCTGTGACACTGAAGAAGTGAAACAAGGGTGAAAGTTGTCCATACCTCAAAGACTGGAAACTACCAGACAATTGTTAAATACCCATATATCAATTCTTATTTGCACCCCCTTTCTCCCCCATCCCCTTCTCTTTCCAATTATAAAAATTAAGAGTCAAGTCAAGGAACCACAACAACAACAATCACATAAAGACATCACCATTTAACTCTTCACCTGCAAGCTCTTTGACTCAAACGATGACCAATTCAAATTCAAAAGCAGATACATGCTAAATATCTAAGGACCAAGTTCACTTTCATTTACTGGTTTACGTGTCAAACACAGAACATTTGAATGATTTCTTCCATGAATTTGTGAATACTTTTACTCACAGGAAAAAATGTCACTCATGTTCGCAGTACTGATTGACCTCACACAAAATCTTAACTTTGCTTCTTTTCTACAGGTATGGAAAAACAAAAATACTGCACCCAATACAGTAGTCTCCACCTAAGATCCCACCACTAATGACCAAGGATCGCTTAAGATCCTGCTGTTTTAAGAAAACAGAATTTTTACTATACAAAAGTTACCCAAAAGATCCCGCTCTGATTCACTCTGAAGGTCTACATTCGGCTAAGATCCCGCATTTCAAACCATACTTTGTGGAACAAAAACCCAGGCGGGCACAGTCGATCAACCAAGAGTGAAAAGTTGAGATCAATAAACTGTCCGTCGCATAAAAAATCAGCCACTATCGTGAATGTGATCACATTCACGTTGTAAAACTCAATGCAGTGAAACAATGTTTGCCTCAGACGGGATCACATCGGGGTGTGAACTGACCGACACGTTTGTTTTCCCCACGCATCGCACTCACACCTGAGCTCTCCCCTAAACTTACATCACTCGCTGGGTGGGTAGGGCCTACACATCCGCTCAAGGCGGGATCACATTGAACTGTGAACTCTTCCTTGACCATTGCAGAAGTTGTCTCTACTCCCAAATTTGCGAGACAGACTGAATTTTTATTGGTGGGGTCACAACGTAATGGTGTGTAATGACAAAGGCGGTGGGGAGGGGGAACTCGGTCAGAGATGGAAAGCTATATATATTTTCGACAGGTAAAGAGAAGGGGCAACTGGATAAGCGTAGATCTTGAGACTCATTATAGGATAATACGTGAAAATGGCACGCCTCATGCCACTATGCACGGTGATAGGTCATCAAGGTTAACCACTCTTGGCTCGCCATGTGTCACAAACCCACCCAGGAGTCACGTCAGTTCATTTTAGAGTGGAGGGCGACCATTTTACCGATTGTGGGCCTTAACATGGGTCACCATAGATTCTTCCCTGGGTTCGTCGGTTAAGATCCTGGTTCGCTTAAGATCCCTCATTTCCTTGCTCCCGAGCACCGGGATCTTAGGCGGAGACTACTGTACTATATCTAATATAGCAGTGGCAGTTGTCACAAACCTAATATGGTATTATTCCTAATATTCTGAGCTTCATAACACTAAGTAATGTTTAAAGTAGGCCTAGACCTACTTCTCAAGTGACAGCTTGAAGAGTGATTCACTGGACTATATTTTCTTTCTCCATCAACTTCCATATAGAAGTATTTAGCACGGTTGCATATTACTATGAAAGCTTATGTATATATTTTTTTTCTTCTAAGGCCATTCTTTGTCATATCTGATTTCCTACAAAACGAAATGCACCCTGTGTTTTATTCTTGAACTGAGACTCTATTCTTAGATAGTATCTCTCAATAAAATAAGAACATAAAATGTTTTATTTAAAACAATCAGAAACAGACTCAAAATCAGGTCAGTGGAGCCAAGTTACCTTGTCATACTAAATTGCCAATTTAAGTTTGGAAAAAATTAACAGACTGCAGCAGTTTAAAAAAAGAGCTGCTCAGTTGAGCTATGGAAAAAAACCCAAGAAGAACACCTTTACTGATAAAGTTACAGTAGCTACCAGTTAAAAGCTACAATCAAGTACAGAATTGCTCTTTTATGTCGCAAATGCATATACAACAAAGCATCACAAAATCTTAAAAGACTTTATTAAGTCATATGTACCATCAAGACATTGAGACCTGTGGATGAGAATCTCATGAAAGTGCCCACAGTAAAGTCTAACCAGTTGGGTGGTAGAGCTTTCTCTTCCTTTGCCGCAAAAATGTCACAGAGAGAGAAAGAGAGAGAGAAAGTGTTTCAACAAAGTCTAAAGTCACATTTGTTCAAGACTAACCTCTGCCAATAAATTTTGTATTTGAGAATGTGTGAGGGCTGGGAGTTTGTGTGTGTGTGTGTGTGTGTGTGTGTGTGTGTGTGTGTGTGTGTGTGTGTGTGTGAGTGTGTGTGTGTGTGTGTGGGTGGGGGGTATGATGTCAAATGGTCTGTAACCCAATGTGCGTTTTCTGTCCTTTGTTTCATCAATTGAGGGATAATTCTGCATTGTACAACACTTAGAACCTTCTAGGGATTAGGTACTATAACAATTCCCATTATTATCATTATCATAATTATTTAATATTATTATTATTATCGCTATTAATTATATAAGCTAAGATTTCCAAAAATATTCATGCAAAACTAACAACTCTACATTTATTACCTGTTTCCAAGGCCTGGAGAAAGATTTTTATCATGACGATAGTGCTTTACGGGGAACAATAAAGGCGGGATCACGGGGTGCTTTCCTTCAGCATTATAAATCTGAGGAAAGATACAAAATTTCAGTTTGTTATCAGAGCTAAAAGCTAAAGTATCTTTCCCAACTCCATATCCTGCTTTATAAACTAAGCAGTTTGTAATAAGAGAAGCCAAACTGATATCATTATTCGCTACTAGTGCTTTTATCAACAAACCTTATAAAATTACTGACCAAGATGTATTTTTCATGGTCTATAACATTACGTATGATAAAGGCTAAAAAGACAGGGAAAGAAAAATATCAAATTCAAGGCTAGCTGTGCTAGATAAAAACGGGATTTCAATTAGTACACGGTGATCCAAAAACACTTTAAAACTTGTTTTGTAAATATCTTCCTCCATACTGAAGTTTTGCGTTTCAGATTTGAACATAATGTTTGGAAGCCAAAAGGAATTTGTCTGATATCTATTTTAGTTAAGTCCATTGAATGGTTTTGCTCTATATAGTGCATTTTAAAAAAACAACCCATTTTCAACCTTGTCGCCATTTTCATAGCATGACACACCAGTTTGCATTAGGCCTACCTTTAAAAGTTGCAACAATTGCGCAATATTGCAAGGTACAGCAGTCTAACAAGTCAACAGAAGTCTGCAGATATTATTTTTCCCAAATTTTGTTTACCTGCTGAGATCATGGCTACGATTAGTAAAGAGCAGAGAGCTTTTTGTATTGAACATTACCTCTCCACAAACTCACTATCCCTGACATTTTGTAAGTTCTGCGCACAGAATGGAGAGAATGCTTAGGTGCCCTCAAGACCTTTGGCGTCATTGGAAGAGACGCTATGTCAGTTTGGATCTATAGCGAATCAGAACTAAAAAGTTCTTTAAAAATGACCACTTCAGTTCGAACACGCACCATGCGCAGCCCTTTAAACGTTATCAGAGTGAAGATTTCGGTAGCCAAGTCCAATGAGATGTCTGTCCGTAGATGATCTGCAGCTAGGACTTTTCTACACATAAACAGTCTGCATTCTCATGGCAGATCTTAACCTATGACTATACCAAGTTCATCTTCGCTAGGCCAAGATGACATGGATCAGAGCATGGCAATGTGTTCATGATTCCTCGATTGTCTTGTAAAGAGGAATCATTTCCTCGATGACATTTGGTTTAGTGTAAAGCCCATTTTCACCCTGCGGGATATGTTAACTCCAAAAATGCTGTCTATTGGGCACCCCACTCTATTATCTCTAGAAGCCACTTCTTAGTGAACATGTACAGTGTATGTGGCTTTAAAATTTAAACTCATGGTTTAGCAAGTCCTTGTGTTAGGGCGCCACTGAACATTTCGAACGACGCGTTAAAAATGTGTCGAGTCCAAGGGAGGGAATGTGGAGCATTGCTTCTAAGAATTTCAGAATGAAATCATTAGGCTTTTAAAACTCTGTCAAAGAATTAAATATTGTTTAAATATCACAGGGATGGAAAATTAATGTCAAAGAGAAAATAAAGAGAAAGGTCAACTAATCTTTTCATAACTTCCTTTACAAGATTTTTAAACATTGGTGAATTTTGCATTTGTGGGTGCTTTTTCTTTTAGCTGTTTCCGTTTTCAAAACATGTTTCTTCTTCGTGGATTTTATATTTTAAAATTCCCTTTGTATTAATTATGTCTGTTCCAAATTACAGCATTCTAGAACAATTTTTGCGCGAGATATTCAGAAAAAAAGTTGTAAAGTTTTTTTGGGATCACTCTGTATGTAAAAATTTCCTTAAAGTTATAAAAAAAATAGAATTAACAAAACACTGAATTTTTTTCTCCTCAATTTATCACGCACTTGCCTTTTCTTCATTGTTTCAAATAAGGACTAAAATTAAAATGCAAAGAAGAAGGCAAAACAGAGACTATAGTTTCATCTTCCGATAGCTGTTGGAGAGTGAAAGCCTGTGAGCAGCAAGAACAAAAACAAGAGCAACAGGTGTGCAGTCAAAAGGTTGTGAATTCAATTCTCAGCTGAATTCCACAGGACGTTGTATCACAAAAAAATGTTCATGTACTTTACTCATTTTCTAAAGTTCCCTGGTCTGTGAATGGGTATTTGGTGAATGTGGGATAATGGTGTGCACATTACACACTGCTATGTTGTTAAGTTCTTTTTTTTTTTTTTTTTTGGTAAGTGTTTTTACGGCACTCGCAACTGCATAAGGTCATATGAGCGTGCGGGACACACCTAATATTTTCAGCTGGTAGGAAATTTTGAATTTTGCCTGGGTGGCAGCCAAAGCCTACTCTTATCGATTTTCGACCACCAAGGGATCTTTAACGTGCACAACTTGCACATGGGCCCTCCGAGATTTTTCGCCCTTGTCCAAGAAGGCTAGGTGCAGATCTTTCCTACCAGAAGATCAGGGGTGTGGCAGAAAGACAGTAGTAAGGAGGAGCCAAGGAGTAGCAGAAGAAAGGCTGCAGAAAGAGTCAGGAGCCCAGAGGAGGGGGCAAAGGAGGTTAGGGGGTGGGGGCAGAAAGTGGAAATGAAAGTAGACAACAGAACATTGCTAGAGAGCAGGAAAGGAGGTGAAAGGAGACAATTTTAGAGAAAAAAATTTTTCGGTCGCTACCCAGATTCGAACCCGGGACCTTTGAATGAGAGGCCAACACCTTAACCTCTAGGCCACGAGAGCCCCCATTGTTAAGTTCTGTGAGCTTTCAGGGGGATACATTACTGTAGGTAAACAATGGTATTTTTCTTTTTTTTAATGCCTTTATGACAGTTCTCATAAGCTGTATGTCAAACACAGTATCGTAAGATGCACTATAGTGACTATACCCGATTTTATAGCTGTTCTACTAAGATGCACTATGTGATTCTATAACTGCTTTACAATAACATAAGGATTCGAAATCTACGATAACAAAAATGTATAAATCCCACAAATCTTTAATTTTGAAAGAGACTGCAAAAGTGACTGAAATTGCTCACCCTCCTGGGTAGCAAAAATATTGGATGCAAGTTACGGCACAAAGGGTTTAAACATCATCAATTTTCATTGTGCAAAATTTAAGATACAAACCTGTCTAATAAAGTCGAGGCCAAAGAGATGTACAATATCTCGACCAGCAATATTTTCTTTCACAATATCTCCATATTCTGACTGCATCTCCCTAATAAGAGTATCCCGTCTGTGAATTTTATTTGGATCTGAAAAATATAAAAATAAACTTATTCGTCAAATACCATTCGCTCAAGAAAATAAAGGGGTAATGGGAAAATGAAAACAGTAAGCATTTCATTTATTATTAAATAATTCAGGATTTAAGGGTGCTGTCGTCTGCTTTAGTCTTCACTTTCTGACCCCCCCCCCCCCTCCTCTTTACCCTCTCTTCTGAGCTCCGGACTCATTCCGTTACAGTTGTGTTTCTACTGCTACTCCTTTGTTCCATCACACTGCTGTCTTTCAGCCACACCCCTGGTCTTAGGGTAGGTAAAAATAAAACACTTGGCCTTCTCAGATAAGTTCGACAAAAATCTCGGAGGTCCCATGAGCAAGATGCGCACGTTAAAGTTAAAGATAAATCTTGACGATCCTAAAATCAATGAGAGTAGGCTTCGGCTGCCACCCGAGTAAAATTCAAAATTAATTCCGTCAAAAACTGAAAATGCTTAATGTGTCCTGAGCGCTCATATGAACTTATGCAGTGGTGAGCGCCGCAAAACACTTATAAAAAAAAAAGTATGCAAAATAAAGTGGTGTGTACATAAATTTTAAAAACCCCAATAAACTATAAAGTAACATTTAAAAAGTACAATCGTTTACCAAACAATTCCCTAGAAAAATAAAAATGCCAACAAACAGACAGCTTTAAAAAAGGGGACTGTGCGACACTTAGAATAAATAATAAATTCATCAACACAGAGAGACTAATATTTACCAGAATGCAATGTTAAGTGACAAAAATAGTGTTCCCTAAATTTCAAAAATCCAGTGCTCTTGGGCAGTATGAAAGTTTCCAAAATCATGTCAATGAACAAAGTCCATAAGGTTAAACGAAAAAATGATGCACTCCTCTTTCAAAACTATTGAGAACTCTTTTTAACACTTTACCGCCTCATCTTGTGATCGGCGATGTTTACCACCCAGTTTCTTTGGATTTTCCACAAAATGCCTTGGCCTTTGATGGCAAGAGTTTTTTTCTATATATATGAGCCTTGTGATGGCAAAGTATTAAGCCTGTATTATTAGAGCTACAATAACTTCAAACTTAACAATGGCTCATATCGAAAGGTTCTTCAAATGCTTGACAATTTGAATTGTCTATAGAAAGAATCATGTCCTGGGTGTGGGCTGGTCCCACTGCACTGGAAAGCTGAAAGATAAAAAAAATACAGAACAGATGTGCTTGAAGAGTATTTTTCCACATACAGGATCTCCTGAAGCCAGACAGCATGTAACCCCCACACACGCACACAAAAAAAAAAAGAAAAAGGAAAAAAAATATTTAAAAACAAAAACGATTATTTTTTATTAAGCCCATTCTTATTAGAAATGCTTGATAACACCTACAATAATCTATATCTTTGCTCTTAGCAGATAATGGAACATCATGAAAGTAAGTTCAATTTCCCAACACAAAATGTTCAGTGACTGATTAAAAAGAACTGAAACATTTTTAGAGTACCAAAAACTTCAAGCATCAAAACTTACTCAGTTTGTAATCCAGCCAGCTGCCAATAAACGGTAAGCCTTTTGGACCTGGAATCTTTGAAAACGGCTGAGCATTTTCATACTCTTCACAAGTACTTGAAGCGCCATATCTTTCAGCAACAGTGCTCCTCTGACAACAGTAGATTGACGCCTGTACCTCCAGTCTGTTCCAAGTCCTCCCTATCATTAATAACGGTTTTGCCATTGTTGAACAAGAAATTCGAGGAGCTCTAGTACATTTGGTCTTGGCCTTCCTACAGTTTGATTGGATTTAAGATTCTTCACAAGTCATCTGAAAATACAAATGAAACGCTTTTATTGATAAGTCATACAACAAATGAATGGAGTAAAATTCCCTCCCTTTTACTTATATTAGTAGTCTCCCACATTATTGCTCCAAACTAGCCCGAGAGTGTGCAATGGAAGATAAAGGACAAATGAAAAACAGAATGTCTTCCCTATGACTGATTAGCCTAATGAGGGCCACCCCATTTTTCTCTAAGGCTTGGAAACTGGTGGTCGATGGTACACTTTATACAAGAACCTATTACTCCAGTCAAGTCAATAGCAAGCGTATGTTTCCCATCAGATGGGACTGACTCTACAAGAACACTGCTGTCTAAAGTTGCAGAGCCTCTTCAATGGGAGACTTGAGTAAGGATGCCGGCCAAAGATTCCCTAAAAGATGCCTCAGGTGATATAAGTAGCATCAGTTTTGATTCTGGATTATGTTTATCTGGTTTTATCAATTGGGATATTCTGGTTCTCCCACCACAAGAAAGTGCATTCCTACCTTCCATGTCTTAACAAGCTCCTGGTTACATTTTTTTAATTTATAATTTTTAGGTCACAGGAGCTTGCCTCCCTGAAAAGCCACAGGTTTTGTTTTTTTTAACATGCAAAATATTACTATGCAATTAGGCTTTTAGTGTAATATATATATATATATATATATATATATATATATATATATATATATATATAGTTAAACCTGCCATGAAGGCCATCCGTATTATACGCCCAGCTGTTCAAACAGCCACTTTCCATTTCCCACTTTTACGTTTTTTTGTATATAAAATAGCACTGCGTAAAACGATTAATTGTTCAACACAGCTGCAGCCACTTTATTTTTTCAATCAAACAATTTTAAAAACCTGTCTATGACTCTTGAAATTTTGGATTCATCAATCTTTGGAGGCCATTTTCTCGTTAACTTTACCTCTGAAACCAGGCAACCCCACCCAGTTCCATCACAAATATCTTGACTGCTCTTCAAGATAGGTGGGTAGTTTTGTCTTCAAAAGAAAGATAAATAAACACTCTTTAACCTCTTTGTGATATGACGTACGCCGTTCGTCATTTTCTTCTTGCACGACAAAGGAGCCAAGATGCTGCTGTGACGCACGGTATTCGTCAAGCCATGCATAAGCCCAGGACCATGATGACAAATTATGCCGTTCGTCATAGGTTGCATTTTGTATACCGTTTGTATTAGATGCATTTCGTAAAACTAATCTCAGATTCACATTCAGGAATGAATACTTATTCCGTACACAGAAATCTTTTTCTTTTAAACAAAGTTTGTATTATTTGCAAATCGGGTCTAATTTAAAGGAAACTGACCACTAAATTAAACACTATTATTTGTTCCTGAGGATCCACAACTGTGCCCGGTGAGGCATGAATTAACTCTGTGTCATGAAGGGGTTAAAGTTCAGATAATATATCACACAGCGTCACTTTTCACCCAATTCTGTTAATTTCAGTTTGTGTGACTCAGCAGCCCGGCGGAGTTCCCCGGCTCGGGGTCACAGGGTTAATGACCCTGGAGCGACTTTGCCGGTGTTGGTTAAGAAGTTCGCACTTTTATCTATGTTTGAAACGATATAACTTCTTCCCCATCCCACACAGAAAACCATTACACTGATGTACTAAAAGTTCAATGTCTTGAGATTTATTCTGCATTAGACTGGTTGTTTTCTATGCCTTAGTTTTTGTTCTAGAGAAGTGTTTGTAGAGTACCCAATTTGTCCTGTTTAAGTTACAAACTTTTGAATAAATGATTGTTTATTTTTTAAAATGGCATGATAGATCTCTCCAAAATCTGTGTTAAACTGACAGCGAATATCAGTCTTTTACCATGAGAAATTTTTAATCCGCGCAAGTAGTAATAGTCAAATTATAAGAGAAGAAAGATGCACATCTCTACATTTTTTAACTAAAGACACCCAGCATTAGCTCTTGTTTTACCATTAAACAAGAAAAGTTACTCTGCATTTGTTCATGAATCATGCTGAGTCTGAGCCAGCCTGCATAAAACTAAGAAAGATATATATATTCAGCCAATCTTTAAAAACACAAAACTGAAAAATAAATGGGTAGAGATAAAACTTCTTGAATGGAAAAAAATAATGACAGTTAACACATTCATTTTTAGTTTTTGTGTCGGAAATGTGTGCGGACACTATGAAGATAAAGAAATCAGAACATTATCAGTTATATCGCAAATGGTCATAGAAACGAAAATAAAAGCTGGAAAAGTCTGGTGCTGATACAGTTTCAGGGTCACTGGAAAGCTAGAAATTATTCTGACCCAATTACGAGAAGTCATCCCTGTTATTCAGTCAACCTACGACCTAGACTGCGTGTTTTAAGAAAGTCCGTCGTTATTCGGACTCCAGTCCGAATTATAAAATTTTTTCATATTCGGACTCAAGTCCGAATATGAAAAAATGAAGTGGCTAGCCGTACTTAATACGGCTAGACTGAGAGTAGTACTTAGATCGAGGTTTGGCCCTATCGATTCAAGCCTGTTAAATACACAGGTCTCATTAGATCTAGATCTAGTAATTATTCAAGTTGAAATACATGCAAGTCAGTAAGGCACCTTTTGGTTTTGTCTGAAATACAAATACTTTAGGCATTGCAAACTAAAAATTTCATTTACAATTCAGCCATCAATATTAAGTACGGCTAGCCTGACAGTCTAGCCGTCCTTAAGTACAGCTAGCCTGGCTGTCTACCCGTACTTAAGTACGGCTAGATTGCCAGTCTAGCCGTACTTATCTTAGGCCCTATTAACATTAGAAAACAGGAGGTTTAAAATACATGCACTGTCATTAAGGCACCTGGTTTCGTCTCAAATACAAATACTTTAGGTACTGCACACTAAAAATTTATACTTACAATTCAGTAGGCCTATTTTTTGTAAATGGTCAGTCTAGCCATCATATTAAGAATAAGTACGGCTAGACTGCCAGTCTAGCCGTACTTAAGTACGGCTAGACTGCCAGTCTAGCTGTCATTAAGTACGGCTAGCCTCTTCCATGAAAAAATGTTATTTGGACTCGGGTCCGGAAAAAAGATTTAATCTAGATTCTAGATCTACTTTCTAATAATCTAATACTACTAGAACCTAGATCTAGTTCTAGATCTAAATCTAGATATCTAGATCTTGATCTAAAATCTAGATATATAATTTATAATATAATAACGCATGCCTAACCTAATAATAATAATAATAATAATAATATCTAGATCTAGATCTATACACATCTGCTTCTCAAGTGATATGATGATGCCGATGGTGATATTACTCACTACTAAGATCTCTAGATTCTAGATATTATATTAGATTTTAGATCTAGATCTAGATCTAGATCTAGATCTAGATCTCTAGATCTAGTCTAGATCGAGGCCAACCGATTCTCTCACTCAACTCACTGCAACTGAACCGAGACTCTCACTTCTCAGACTTACTTTCAGTGAGTCAAAGTCAATCTCAGTGAAAAGTCCTGTCCATTTTTCAAAGTTAAAGAAAGGTCGTTCGTAAAAAAGATAAGAGTGCTGGAAAAAATCTTCTCAGAAAATGCAAAGTAAGCAATAAAATTACGACGACTAGATCTAATCTAGAAGTAGACCTCGAGTCCAAGAGTTCACTAGCCTATCTACAACCATTTCTTCACATCTTTTGTTTACATTTTGTTAGTGCACCTAATTCAATGACGTCATGAATGGAGTTTGAGAACTTCGAACGAAGTTTGTTTTGTTTTCGAACTTTAGAAACTGGAAACGAATAGAACAGTAATTATTGCTCTCCATTCATATTCTTCCTGAATATTTGAACAGAACTTATGGCGTTTATAATGTCATACTTGACAATCTTTATTTTTGTAATACTAAACTCTGTTTGACAGCTCTGAGTCATATGACCAATTGTAACAAAGATGGCTGTCTGCTAGTTTTGCAAGTGTAACTTCTTACAGGCGTTACCTGTGTGTGCCATTGTTGGTATGTCGGACTCTTCCTATGATACTCTGTATTATGTGATTTCATAAGTACTTAAGCTATGCTTGTATGTTTAAATAGAAGTACCAGTATTGCATCTAACTGTTTTAAAGGCATGCCCAAACGGACAACGAGTTCTCAGTCAACAGACAGTGCAGCAGTATAGTACTGTGTATAGTGTTGGCTATTATTATTATAACTTGACTTGACAATAATATTTTTGGACCTGCACTGACAGTTTAATCTTGTAACTTTATCTAGATTCTAGATCTAGATTTAGATCTCTAGATATGATAGGATTCTAAGTGTGTTATTTGGGAAGATTGAAGAATACCAGACCTAAATCTAGATTTATATAATAACATAAATAGAATAATATTAATAGATCTATCTAATCGTAGATCATCTAATCTAGAGGGCATAGGGGCCTACAATCCTACAAATTAATTGCGGGAGAATGCGGGGTGGGTGGTTGGGGTGGAGGAGGGGGATGGGGGGTTCAGGGGACATGCGTGTAACTTGAGAATGACAGATGTACGCCATTGGCTGATATTTATTGTAACAGCCATCGCATCTTGTTTAACGTCATTGAGGGATTCCCACTTTGTTGTCGTTCATGCCTCACGGTAGCAACACGACCACAAAGCACAACAACTGCAGTAATAAAGTAATAAAGCCTGTAGCTTACAGTACAGTGGCGTGGTGGCAGAGTGGTTAGTGCACTTGTCTCAAAAGCAGGAAGTCCAGGTTCGAGGCTCGGTTCGACCACAGATTTTTTGGCTCTTTTTCGGTAGTTCCCACCCCGCAATTGTTATTCACGGGTTTTGACCCCAAGAGTAGGGGGGTTTCAGGGGGGCTTGCCCCCCCTGACCTAATAAAAATAGGAATGGGGGTTTCAGGGGGGCATGCCCCCCTGAATTTTACCATAATTTAATGTTTTAAGGTTTGATATCTTAGTTCACCGCGAATCAAATGTATAGATCTAGAGATCTAGATCTAGATGTAGGTCAAATAAGGGGGGTGGTAAGTACCGAAAAAGCACCGATTTTTTTTCAGGCCACCTCTATTCTCACCCGGGGTGAGAATAGTGCAGGCGGGTCTTGTGGCTATTCTCACCCGGTGCGCGTGTCAACAAATTTTGCGTTCACCCTAAACCACAGAATTCTACACTGTGATAAGAGAAAAATTGTAGAATTCTGTGCTGTGAACAAACGTTCCATTACAACTGTACTTGTAGCCTACTAAAAGCGTACAATTTTGTCTGTGGGCAGTGGAGAGAGGAGAGAGAGAGAGTGAGAGAGAGAACAAAACAAAATGGCGACCCGTGTAGTTCGGCTCGATTCGAAAAGTTAAATAGCCGTAGCATCTTTGTAGACAACCAAATTAATTTACTTTTGTGTTTTAACATCAATTTTTAACTTTGTTTTGATCAATTTGATCGTCCACACCGATAGACAGTATTCAGAGAGAGAGAAGAGGGGAGGAGTAGATCTTGCGAGAACTTCCGGGCGGGTGAGAATAGCCACTTTCTTTTTTTCACCCCGTCCTGCCCACCCACCTCCTAATGGGTAGGCCTACCTGACTTCGAGTTGGGGAAGTAAAGTAGCAATGCCAATGAAAATTTAAATTTTCACTTTTGTCCCCTTTTTTTTGGTACCTAAGAAAGAATTTTCAATTCTAAGAATTATGTTTCTCTTGAATTTTGAGAATCGGTTCATAAATAAAAAAGTTATGGGGTTGTAAAGGTCGGCAAAATATGGATGACCCAATATAGGAAAATTATACACTCCTAAAAAGTGGACCACGCAGTAGCAGATTCTGTAAGAAAATCGACGATATCTCGGTAACTAATATGAGTGTTCGAGAGAAACTTGGCTACCCGATGTGTTTTTGAGTGTAGAAATCATTTCTGCAGTCAGATTTACTACCAATTTCGTAGTTATTTTGTTAATTAAAATTGTGGTATATTATGATTTTGCGAAAAAGGGGTGTCGGGATGAGTCCATTTTATTTATAGCATCGTATCACAACATGGGATCTTTAAGAATATATGTCGGCAGCGTGACTAAATAATTGCAAAGCTTTTTATGATGACTTTAGACCATGCCAACCGTAAAAGATAAGTTAATTCAATCTAGCATGCCGTACAATTAAAAATTCTTTTTCCCCGTTGAGACGCGAACACCCCGAGACGAGATAACCTCGCCTCGGAATACCCCCATTGCGATGTTACAGGGGAATAGAGAGAAAAACATCCGGATGTGCGCGCCCGCCATTGCCCTATTTCAAGTGACCAATGAACGGGCCCAGAATAGTCATGCGGGGATTTGTAGGTCACATACATTTGCCACGAGAGTGAGGGGGAAATGGCCGGTCTCCGTGCGAAGCCGCTTTGGATAGGGGGGTAGTCGTAGATTTACGATCGGGTCTAAACAACTACTTGATACAGAACGTTCAAATTTGAGCACACTATAGAGGATAGATAGATCTATTACCATCTCGGCGTTGAAATTCAAACTCCTTATAGTTTTCGGTGTACACGATACGAAAGTGTTCCCGACACCAAAAGTATAGGTTAATTTATGTGTACGAACTTCAACGTCCACATATCATTAGTTTGTCCTATTTTCTGATTGGTTGCCGAGTTTCATTCGGATTGGTTCGGAAATAGAGCAGACCGAGGTTGACAAAGTTAGTCACCTACGCTTCGGCCGGGTCCGCAAAATCGCCCGTAAACGGGGACCAAATTTTTGCCTCGCGGGAAAGCCCGATTGGCATCGCTAAGTATAGGACTAGGCTAAATTTTTAAAAATATATAAGATAACGGTAAAGCCGAGGGCCAGTTTAGATAGATCTAGATCTAACTATATTAAAGTAAAGCTCACGTCTCGATTGTTATCATTATAATCGTAAAAAAATTTCATAAATGCTGGAAATACTGTCAAAGCTGTGTAAAACGGCCACCCATTGTCAAGGAGAAAAGTGGCGTATAAGACAGGTGGCCGTCTTAGGCAGGACTGATCAAGATGAAGAAAACAAACTACAAACCATTCCCATCTGTGGTCCCAATCGAAAGTAGCCGCGTTGTTGTTGTGGTTGTTGGTGGAGGTGGTGGTGGTTTTGTATAAATTGTTTGTAATTTTTATTTTGTTGCTGATATTGCACAAGGGTGACAATAAAACGAAATGTATCAGACGAGGAAGACCGAGTGCCATCTTAAAACAAACACATGGGTCGCCACCAAACTTGACGTCCTTTGTGACCACTCATCTCATTTATGATTTGTGTATGAGGTCTAGGCGGGGTTTATGGGTTATGAGGGATCACACACTTACCTCACCAGCAGCTGAAAATTGGTAGCTATTGGTCAACAGTGGGAGGGGCCTACGCAACATGATCGGTTGGAGGGACTACCTAACAATAACGACACGTGATTGAATTATGACGGCTCGCCCACAACGCCAGGGGCCAATGCACAATTTAAGACAAAACGTAATGGAGTCACTAAGGTGGCCGTCTAAGACAGGTGTTATTGCTTGGAGTGATAGGGGTTGTGTGTCAAAATATTGTGGCCGCGGCCGCGTTGGATAGGTGCCCGTTTTACACAGTTTAATTATATAGAAAAAACGCAAGGGGGGAAATGGAAAGTGGTCGTTTGTACAGGTGGCCGTCTTATAGAGGTGGCCGTCAGGGCAGGTTTGACTGTATTTTAATTTTGGAACAAGCGTCGGAAGTCGGAAGGGACATCATGCTGGACTCACTTCAGAGTCTGAATGCCAAATATAATTTTTGTCTATTCAGACTCGAATCATATGAGCCATTGCCAAAACGTGGGGAAAAACACACACATCTCACATTAGTGTGCATAAAATGTGATGCATTAGTATTTATTCCTCCAAAACGTATACACATGTCAAATATAGGATGTAGAACCTGCATTAGCAGTTTCAGACCCCATGTCAGCTTTATAATCTTGAGTTTGTAAATTTTGTGCCAAAAATGTTCGTTTTTTAGTGATTCCTGGAGTGTCATTTTGAGCACACCAATGCAAACTTCCAAGAATGTCCAAAATTTAGTATTTTTGGGTGGGTTTTTTTTACGTGTGCTTTGATCCTATGCTATTTGTCATTGAGAAAGGTTAACTTGCTCAAGAAATCGGTTTATTTGTTTGCAAATAGACGAACAATTCCGATTACTTGTGCGTCTGTCGTGTCGTCACGGACTAGGTGTTTCAGAAAACACCATTATTTTTCAGTAGAATCACCGTAGCTGGTTAAATCTTTTTGCCTATTGTCGTTTATTCAATACTTCAAAAGCCGCGATGCGCGTAAGGAACATCGGGTTCCTAGATCTACGATTTCGGTCGGCTGTTTAACATTCGCTGTTATTGTCGTCAATTTGCGACGTGCCGGAAGTCCGAATTTCGCCCACTTTTGTTTTGAACGGGTCATCAACAGTGCCCGGATATAATTGTTTTCTTGAGTGACTTCCCCTTACCCGCTTCCCCAGAACAACGGAAGCAACGGGGGAAACAGAAAAACGAAAGTAGTCATTGCCTTCAGCGTCCGGTGACGCACAAGAATTTTGCGTTGAATGTGACGTACTGGGCTGTTTTGCGTGTTTTTAGGCTACTCTGTTGAATATTTTATTTAGTGAAATTGCGGTGTTTACACTGGATTCCTGGAACAAGAGTGTGATGTGTGAACAAACTTCGAGAGATGGATCTTTTCTGTGGTTATAGATTTAGCTTTTGTGCTCAGTGATGAAGTTTGGGGTGTCATCATGCAGCCGTACAAGACTGACTGACGTACTAGAAATTACATTGTCCTAAGAGCAAACATTTTTAAAGTAATGTGTGCTCTCTTTACTCAAACAAATAAACAAACATGTCCTTGTTTATCTGTCTAACTCAAAAATACACATTTGTTCTTTGTTGGTATGATATACCTTTTTCCAATACATTGTGTCATTGTGTCATCATTGTTATGTACAAGTAGTATTTGTCATCATTGCTAATATCAATAAGTTTTCAACATATATTTCATACATGCAAGATTCATTTAGAAGCAAAATACGCCTTTATTGATCTGTGTATCTCTTGGTGCAAATTTGTTCTTTGTAGGCATGATTTTACCTTTTCCCAGTATGTTTTATCATCACTGTTATGTACGAGTACTGTTTGTCATAATTAGCAACATAATTGTGGTCGTCCACTGTCTTTGATATGACCTGATATCTGTTTCAAAGCAAAAGAAACCTCTCCTGGGTTTTTTTTTATTCTTAAAATGCGCTTTTCTCTCTGGAGGCAAGACTTTTGTCTTTTCCTGTACATTGTGTCATCATTGTTATGTACAAGTCATGTTTGTCATCACTGTTACGTACAGGTCAGCTCAATTGATTTTGTGCTTTTGCCTCATATTAGTTTAAAAATTGTTTTACATATGTGTTTTTCTGGTACTGAGGCTTTGATAACTGTATTTGTACAGCCTTTCACTATTGTGATGTGTTGTCAATGATAATGTCCAATGTGTATCCTTTCTTGTACATAACAATGATGACATGTTCTGTGCACTGCGTCATTGTTACAAAGCTTGTCATTCATATTACCATTATGAATGGAGTTCATAGTGTACAAAGTCTTTGTTTACTAAACAAATGGAATTTAAAGTCCATAATTTGCCTTGCTGCTTATCTGTTTTTGTCATCACTGTTACATACAAGAAATACAGTGGTTGCCAAACCAATAGACCCATATCTCGAAAACCGTACATCTCCTTGCTCTGATACTCTAGGAATATGAGCACTAAATGTCAATCTGTGACTGACAGAAAAGAGAGTCAAATTGGTAAAAAAAAAATTTTTGCACCACTGAGTCTCAAGAGAGTCTCACGTTTTGGCAATTGCTCATGTGACTAATTATTTGTCACTTCCTTGTAGCTGGATATAGATTCTATGTATGCATTGAAGGAAGTAAGATATAACCTTATTGTATTGCAAGTGCCGTAAAACTCTTACTGAAACTAAACAGATCTAGATTTAATTTAGCATAACCTAGTAATGGCGATCCATTTGTCAAAATCATGTCAATCAAAACTGTAGCACTCAAACTTCCCACGTACCCCCCGGGGCGGTGCTACTGACTGAAGTGCCTTTAGGCGATTCCCAAAGGGGGGGGGACATTAACATCTCGAGTTCTTACGCACAGTAGAATTGTAATTGTAAATGGGCTGATTCATCAATGTCACGCTCATAACTGTGCCTGACCTGCAACAGGGAACTACTGCTTTTTCTTTCCCGATCCTTACTGTCGTCATTTTTCCTCTACGTCTTTGGTATGTTTGTCACACTCTTGTGACGCGCTATTTTTGGGGTGCCTTGATAGTTGAAGCAGACTTTGTGCTGTTGAAGCTAGAGAGGTGAGCAGAGTGAGTTTGATTCCCTCTAAGGAGTTCTCTGTTGACATCCACCCATTGGCGCTGATATGACCTTATGCAGTTGCGAGCGCTGTAAAACCTCTTAAAACTAAAACAAAGCCAGCCATATTTATTGCTTTATGTTGCTTGAGAGTGGATAATAACAAAAAGAATGAGTATCATTTTAAAAACGCTTAACAGCAACACAGGAGGAACGATTTGGGTTTGAGGGTAGATGCCCCACCCTCATGATATTCATGATGTAGTCCTGTGTACGGTAACTGAGGTTTTGTGCTTCAACACCATTGGGACCGGCCTCACACTTGACTTTCAGTTACATGAAGCTACAGAGAGCACCTAGCACACCTCTGTGATTGGCCCAAATATAGATAACGTATTTCTGCCGTCTGTTTTTGTCGTCTTCCGGGGTTTCCCTCGCAAGTTGATTAGAAAGCTAAGGAATATGATCATTTGATTGAAGACTGCATTCGGGTTGGGTTTTTTTATAACTTGGATCAAAATGAAATTAACGAGTGTAATGAGTGTCTGGAATGGCTGAGCAGAACAAAATGTATTCCATGGGTGGTTGGCGGGTGCTGTGGTGTGGTTTGCTTCTTATTTCCTATCAAACATATATCGTCTTTATCACCCCTTTTTCTTTTTTATGTTTGTTACTCTCTTGTAACGCCTCTAATCTTCTGATGACCTTATGCAGTTGCGAGCGCCGTAAAACCTATTCTAAAACTAAACCAAAAAATGTATTCCACTTGTATTATACAAAAGGGCAATAAGGATCACTGTTATTATGATGATGAAAGAATAATAATAAAGGGTGAAAGTGATAGATCTAATCAACTCGTGAGGGAAACCCCAGAAGACGACAAAAATAGATGGCGGAAATACGTCATCTATATTTGTGCCAATCACAGTGGGGCTCTCTGTAGCTTCAGAGCTGCTGCCCACTTTCCAACTGAGCTACAGTTTTATGTTACTGTTGAGATCCAGCCCCTTTTAGTAAATGATAGACATACATGAGACTTCACCAAGCTGTTTTGAATGTTTCCCCGTACTATGCCATTAAAATGTTTTTATTGAAAAAGTATTTTGGTTTAGTAAAGGTCAGTTAGGTGTCACCAATTGTGTATAGTTGAATCTGCCACCACAAACCAAAACAGACACCTGTCATGGCGGAGTTCATTCCCCCCCCTGATAAATTGCTGTTACCTTTATATCAGAAACCTGCAACCCAGAAGCGGAAAGAGAAATCCCTCTGAAGGAAAGGGTTTTGATCGGTCTTAGGTGGAAGATACATTGTCCACTCAGCTCTGATTTTTTTTAAAATGCAGGATCTTAGCTGAATGTAGCCTTTCAGAGTAGGATCTTACAGGTGACTTTTGTGTAGTAGAAACTGTTTTCTTAAACTGATATCTTAAGCGAACCGGGATCGTATGTGGTGGGATCTTAGGTGGAGACTACTGTATTACTTACCATTTCTAAAAAGAAAGGACTTTTTATTAAACACAAAATATCGCTGAATATGAATCTGCAATAACTTTACAAGTGCACTGAATAAAAGTAGAAGCACTATGCCAAAAGTACGACCTATAATGAACATGGTCCTCGTGCTTCGCAAGGAATGATGAGCGCGTTCGTCACATCAGCATCTTGCTTCCAACGCCGTATAAGAAAAAATGGTGAATGCACTCTAACATAATACTCTCTCCCGTTTCAGTCCCTATGTTTTCTTTGTATTGACTTCACGAAGTTTCAGAACGCGCATCTCCTGAACTTTGAACAAATCCACTTCACATTCTCAACTAAAGGCCTGGCTTTACCGCCTTTCTGACCACGGGTAGCTGTTTCTTTGTTATTCTTACAGCCAAAACGGGGTTTTTGTCTCGTCACGAGAGGCTGGAGGAAGGGGGGGGGGGTAGGGGAGTGATGCTGATCGCCCCGCATGACTGGCACGCCAGACGTGAAGTCATGCTTTGGGACGCACGCGGTGCGGAAGGCAAGAGGCATAACTTTCTGTAGCCAATGAAAGGAAAGGAATGACGTAGGAGTCCGCTGTGCACACATGAGATTTTGTGCTTTTCAGTTTTATTCATCTTCTTGCTTTCTCACTGTCAACACATTCATCAAGAGAGCTAACCACGTTAATTGTTTTAAAGTTCTTTTTTACCTCCCTGGGTTTTCTCTCTATTTCTTTGTATTTGAGGCTTTCAAATTTCACTGACATGACGAACACTATTTCTAATCACTGACGAACTCGAGCTACCCATGTTTGACTCTAATATATATATCTGTATTTGAACAGGCATGGTGACAGATGGATGCCTATAAATAGGGAAGAATTTGATGACCTTTTATTCATGTCTTTCACAGGTCAACATGGGAGGCTGAGGCTAGGTCATAACACGTGACAGTTAGGTTGTACTGGACTGATGTGTAAAGGGAAAATGATGAATGATCAATGTGGTGATGTTCTCTCTGATTCCATGCTGATTGTGGATTTTATCAAGACATTCAGGAGTTTATTTAAGCATAGCACATAACAGCACTTTTGGATATAACATCTCTTATCATGGCATCTCGGAACCAAACACCAAGCTCAGTCCAGGGCTTTGATGCTGCCAGTGTCACGGATAAAATGCAGTCTAGCACCCTGAAGGTGAGTCAAATTTTGCAGCAGTGGGGAGGAAAGGGGGACCAACTGGGGAAATGATAATATGATTTAGTGGAAAATGTCTGTGAATAAAAGGTTACATGACCAAGTAGGCTTTGTTCTGATCATTTGATACTTAAACATATAACATTTATCCCCTTTTCAGTGCAATGAAAGGCAGTGACTAGAGAATTTGTTGTTAATAAGTGTGTCTGCATCTTTAATTGGATTGTTTTGACAACTCGTCGCCTCAGAACTATTTGGTCCAAAGTGCCCTTTAACTTCAGTACACTTTGGACAAAATAGTTCTGAAGCGACGAACTATTCCCTTTTTATTTGGGCCACACATTAGATGAAAGCATGTGAGTCTCGTTCTTAATATAACATGAAAAGGTGACTCTAAATTTATCTTCACACCATGATACTTCCCTTTCTAAAAAAAGTTTGTCTTTGTTGATGTATGGATTTTTTCATTAAAAAAATATTGAAGTATTAGGGGCAAAAGATGAAAAAATCTATTGACTCATGTTTTGACATTGTACTGTACCGTGTTTGTCTGAACAGCGACAGCCAAGCCCTGATTGGAGCAAAACTGATCTCTTAAGGCTTCTCAGTTATTTTGAAGGGGAATTACAAGCAAGAGACATCACAATTGCAACTTTAAAGGTTTGTAAAAATGACCTCATTTTGATTTTTTAGTTGTTGTCTCAACTTGTACACTTTAGAAAGTTTTGAATAGATGACAGGTTATTTACATTCTTATCCTGCCTTTTTTTAATGCCATGTAAAAGGGTCATATCTTTGTGGATTTTAAAAAGTACTTCGACAGAGTCTGGCATGCAGCCTTAGGGGCAACCATGATGAAATATAACATCAACGCCAACCTGATCAACGTCATACATCAATGATCAACTATATGACAAGGCCTCCAGCGCAGTCTACCTCAACAGCAGCTTGGCGGAATGGTTCAGGACAGCGGTCGGGGTGAGGGAAGGCTGTTTGCTCTCTCCCACTCTCTTCAACATCTTCCTAAAACGAATCATGACTGACTCACTGGAAGACCACAATGGAACAATCAGTATTGGAAGCAGAACAATCACAAACTTGCGTTTTGTCGATGACCCTAATGGATTAGCAGGAGAAGAACAGGAGCTCTCCACACTAGTGGAGCGGCTGGACACAACCTCAGCGGCCTACGGCATGGAGATCAGTGCCGAGAAAACCAAGCTAATGACCAATAATACCAATGGCATCAATGCGGACATCAAAGTCAGGGGCGAGAAATTTGAGACAGTCAATAGCTTCAAATGCCTTGGATCAATCGTCTCAGATGAAGGCTCTAGACCAGAAATTCTCTTCAGAATCGCGCAAACAACAGCTGCGCTGTCAAAACTGAAGCCTTTTTGGAAGGACAGAAACATCAAGCCCAACTAGAAAATTGGACAAGTGCACTCACTGGTCATCTCAATATTTTTATACGCCTGCAAGTAGTGGACACTGACAGAAGAATTGGAGAAAAGGATTCAGACAACAGAGATGAGATGTTACCGCAAACTCCTTGACATCTCGTACAAAGTCCACATTTCAAATGCTGAGATTTAGGAACAGAATCACCAAAGCAGTTGAGCAGCATGAAGATCTACTGACCACAGTGAAGAGACGAAAATTAAAATGGTATGGGCATGTCACAAGATCCACAGGACTTGCCAAAACTATCCTACAAGGAACCGTACAAGGACAGAGAAAGAGAGGAAGGCAGAGAAGGAGATGGGAGGACAACATTACAGAGTGGACAGGAAAGACAATGTGTGACAATCTGACGAAAGAAGAGGACAAAGAGAAATGGCGAGAGCTGATTGTCAGATGCAGTGGTGCCCCCACGGTTGCCCCAACCACGGGATAGAAGAAGAAGAAGAAAAGGGTCACAACAATTGATTTGTAGAGCTAGGCAAGGAGTCGCTTTAGCAAAAGTCCAGATAATATGTTAGTACACCTCTTCGGCAAATAATATGATATGAACCGATTCGGCAAATGGGTCAGAACCACTTCGACAAACAGGTTAGCCTCACTTCAACAAATGGGTGCACCCACTTCTGCAAACGGGTCAGGAAAGGGAGTTAAGAGTCTGAATTCGGACTATGTTTCATTGACAATTATCCGGTTATAGGGATAACTTACACAGATTTTGTCCACCTCTATTGATTTGGTTTTTTTAAATATCTACTCACCATTGGCTGTATAATGCAATATTAATTATCCTTTCAAAATATTATAAAGTCGTTCACTATCAGAGGGATATTTCCTCATCTAGACAGGATTATTCCTAAAACTGCTTTCAAAATATGAACCTACTCCTTATAACCATGGCTTGCGGTTGTGAAAGAATTTAGTCTGCTGAGTGAAAGTTTAGAATATCATGTTTTACGAGAGGTTTAGACCATTCAGCTTTTTTTTCTGTATTCCCACAGGCTGAAAAGGCAAAGCAACTCCTATATCAAGCCAAATATGGAAGGTTTGGGCTAGGAGACCCTTTTGTTGCCCTTCAGAGAGATGCTGAGGGTAAAACAGAGGCTGGCTTTGATGAATCGGCTATTAAGAGTATGTACGACAATCAACTTGCCCAACTGGAGAACCTTATAGCTACCCAGCGCAAAGCTCAGCTCAAGATGAGAGAACAGCTGGGAAATTCTGAAAAGCGCTTTCATAAGGTTTAATTTTGTTTTTGTTTTTTTTGTTTTTAACTTGGATTATTTTTGTGGGTAAAATTGATTGCTAATAATGGCATTGTGTTTCATATTCATAGACTCATAATGGGCTTATTTTTGGTCATATCCTGATGGTAAGTAATCATAGGATTGGATCGTATTCAAGCGTCGAGTCATTGAAGTCTTCGTACTGCTTTACAACTGCCCTTCTTCTGTATGTGTTGGCACATAAGTCACTGAGTGTGCTGGTCACCTTAACACCGTTGAGTGACCATCAATGTGTCTGCAATGAGAATAGATGCTTATAAGCAAACATGTATGATTTTTGTAGTTTGCCCATGTCCTCCAAACATTCATTAAAAAGAAGTTAAAATTGTTATATTGTTTGCTAGGCACATGTACCTGTTGAACTAAAATTATTCAAAAGTCTTAGTGGTGGGGATGCTTGATCTCAGAATACTTTTATTTGCCACAGTTCTGACCAATCTGTCTGATACAGGATGGGTGGCCACATGAGCATTATAATTGCAATGAGGTGGCTTTAATCTGGCTTAGCACCATAATCTCTATTTTAAGCTTTTGACAAGGGTTTTCACAGTTGGTCAAAGGGCACCACTGTGAAGTGTTATTTCTTTTCTTTGTTTTTTTTTCTCTGTCTATTTATCTTGCTTTGTTTCTGTACTGAATGGTCATCATCATGTCAATTTCTATCAATTCAGAGTCTCACCACACTTACAGTTGGCAGACATTATTTAGCCTTTGCCATTTTAGGGGGGTGTGGGGGGACTGTATGATGATTAAGGGTAAAATGGGTAGACTTCCAATGGTTGAAAAGCCCAAGTCTGAATGATTGCAGCATGCTTGGCCCAGGCCTTTGTTGATTTTAGAGTAAGGAAAGATTCTTTGGACTCATCTCATGTCCCATTTACTGTACATTCCACTTTTTCCTGGCCCTCAAGCACCAGGATCTTACTCAGTGACTGCTGTGCTTTTATACTATGTTAAATTAATTTTATTGTAGGTTTGTACTGAGCTGGAGGAAGAGAAGCAAAAGCATGCGCAAGACACTGCGCAGGGAGATGATGTGACTTACATGTTGGAAAAAGAAAGGGAGAGATTGAAAGCTGAAGTAAGTGTTCATTTTGATTTGGTTTTGCAAGCTGATATCATTATTGTATCTATGCCTATCTTTTCAGGGACTCCTAGGCCTTTTGTGTCTCAAATTGAGGTCTAAATTGTAAGACTTGTCAGCTTTGGCAATGCTACAAATTAATGCTCCCTGTTCTCTGGTCATTAACTCTTTCCGGACGTATCACCGATATATCGGCTGTGATAGGGTGCCTTAGTTTTTTCGTTTTAACATGATCCATTATTTATAAGTATTTTTTATTGTTGTTGAAAACTTGGAAAGGGTTTAGGAAAGGAAAACATCTAGTTTCTCTTTGTCAAAGCGGCGGTATGGCGAAAAACGAGTGAATTAGTTCTTGCGGTCTTGCATCAACAAAACGACGAAACCGGACTCGGTATAAATAATATAACTCAAACAAAAATTGGAATATTGCATTCAGATAAAAAGCTGCACATTCAGAATTTTATGGAATCTATATGATAAGATAGCTATACTGATTCGCTTTCACATGTTTAGTGTGTGTAATTTTTTTCCGTCAAAATGTATTTTTCTCACCACCGTCACCATTTCTAACCTTTGTAATGCATACTTATGTTCAAAATCAATCCTTGTTTCATGTTGGAATGTATTCCTTATTCAATTTCCTTCAATTTGATATATCATATGTTACGTTTTGAGTCATGGTTAGGCTTATATGAAGTTATTTTGTACATCACCTGTGTAGCCGAATTGAGTCACAAGTTAATTACGTCTAGACCCCAAAACAACTACGTCCGGAAAGAGTGAAGAGTCCTGTAAGTCAGCTCCTTGGTCTTGACTTCATTTCTCTACAATACTTTTCTGTGGCTGTTATGAACACTGTTTAAGAAGTAAGAAGAGGATGTTTGATATCAGTTACTCATGCTGTAGCATGTCACTGGTAAAATGGTGAACACAGGGGTTTATATTTAACTTTTCAGTATCATTTCAAAGTCCTCTCATTCAATGCTGAGTGCTACAGTGGTGAACTCTATTCCAATTCTGGGCTGTTTTGTTTTAGTTATATGTGTAATCGGGTCAATTCAGGAAATTGATCATACTTTTAAACTCTTGAATTAATCTCTAGGCAGTGAAGAATATTGTCTCCATGAACTTTCCATAATGCATAAAGCATAAATTACTTGGTTTGGATATAAATAGTTGTTTTTCTGTATTAAAAGAAAAAAAAAATCAGCATCAGCAACTTTCATTACTTTTCGCCTCTACTTTAAAGAAAAATTATACTTGCCTCCATTTCTGATTTTAACCCTTTGAGCCCTTGTACCAGTGGCGCGTAAAACTACCCTTATGCCTAGACAGCAGTGAGCAAGACCCTATCTCCAACCCAGCCGGCCTGAGACAAAATGCGTACGGAAAGCAGTGTTTACTACGCATAACGTTATTTATTATTTTGAAGATCTTTCTGAATTAGATGGTCGTATTGACAAGGACTACCCTGAGTGGAATATGGAATGTGATTCCGACGATTATATCAATGTTAGTAATATGTTGCTGAGGAGCTCAAGCAGAGGGGCATGGTAGCTTCAGGGGTTCAGGGCTCAAAGGGTTAAAGGCAGAGCAAACTGACCAGGATAGTGCTAGATATGTTGTGATAAATGCATTTCTGTGTATTTATCTGGATTTTTAAATATTTTTTTAAAATTGAAGATTGACTTTGAGAAGAACCAGAACAAGAAGTTGGAAAAAGATTTGAAAAAGACCCTTGCAAGCTTGGAGGAGGAAAGAGCCAACGCAGCAAGGCACAAACAAGTTGCCATTATGCTTATAAAGGTATTCCTCATTTCTATCTTATATGTAGCTCTTGCTTTGAAGCTGTGAAATGATACGACTAAGTGGTTTTATGGATTCTGGTAATTTACAAGCATACTTATCTTTGTATGATGCTTGCTGGTTTGGGATTGAAACAAATGTCTCTTTCTGAATGATCTGACCTGTTTTGTTGTCCTAAAATGTAAGCTTCACATGTGGGGTTGGAAAACAGATAAAACTCAGCAGCAAGGTGTCTCTGATGAATAAAGGCCTCCAGATGTGTTGTTTGAGTTTCTCGAGGAGTTTCCTTGTAATTCCATGCTAAAAGGAAATTTTGATTCTCAATATTATGTGTATGGGGTGTGGTTTAGATTTTGTGGCTTTGTTTTACTGAATGGAATGTTGCACCAAAACGAGTATCTTTTTCTAAAATTTCTTTTACTTTTTTCTGTTCCTAGGAACGAAAAAATTTAATTGAACGCATCATTGCTGAAAACCAACTGAGGGATGAGATGGAAGTTGCTCTGACTGATGAAAAGTCCCGCATGCAGAACATGGCAGAAGGTCTTGCTCAAGAAAGCAAAAAGTCCCTGAAGATGGAAGCGGCCTTGGAAAAGCAGAATACCCAGTTTGACTCTGAACGAGACAACCTGAGAAGACGGTTGCAGGAAGAGGAAAGACAGACGGGTACTCTGAAGACTGAAGTATCTCGACTCTCCCAGCAAGTGGAGATGCTGCAGCAACAGCTATGGACTGGCAGTGGCTCTTCTCCTAGCAGCATACAGATTCGCTCCTCAGCTTCCCCTGCCCGCTCATTAAACCCACCGTCTGCCGGGCGTGGCGCGGGAGCTTCCCCTCAAGTGTCGGGTTCAACAACCCAGTCTGTAAGTCCCAATGCTAATAATTATCCTCCTCAGTCTTATAGTAGCGTTCAGCCTTCTGCAAACGCAGGGTTGGCTTCAGCAGCACGAGGAAGTGGACCAGGGGGATCGCCTGCACCTTCAAGTGGAACCAACAAGCCTCCGTTTATCAAATCAAGCCCAAAGGTCGTGGATGGAGGTCGTATAGGGTCCAGCTCTCCAGAGAGAGAAGTCATTTACAAAGAGGGGTTTTCTTCTTCAGGAGGAGGAGGGGCAGCTCGCCGAGTGGCCGCACCAGGAGGAATGCGGGTGGCACCAGTGGGTGCATCTGCAACAGCGGGAGGGGTGGATCGGGTGGATGTGGATGTTGGATCTGGTGGGGCCAGGGTGGTGAATGTTTCCCCCGGCTCGAGTGCCACGGTGACCACTCATGGGGGAGGAAGAATCTCATTTCACGTCGGAGGAGGGGCTGCTCAGGGGACCACCGGGTCTTCCCAGCTCAGAAAGCCCACAGCTTATGGCTCACCTTCTGCTCCGGCTGGCCGTGGAGTACCACCCCCTATCCCACCAAACAAACCGAACTTTGCCTCTCCAAATCCTGGAAGCAGCAGCAAACCTTCACCCCCTCCCAAAATGCCAGGGGTAGGAGGTCAAGGTAGCGCCAAGGATTCCCATCCTGGCCAGTACAGCAACACTCCAGGAAAACTGCCATCACAGCAACAGCTGCGTGGTGTCCAGATCCCTGTGACCGTGGTCAGTAGCAGTGGCCCTTCTCCATCGACCAATCCAGCCGCATCCAACAGCGCTGTAGCTAGCGTTCGCACCCAGGTTCGCGAAACATCTCCCTCTGCCGTTCGGAAAACCTCTCAGGTTTGTGTCAATGCCAAATAATTATCAATTGCTTGCTGCTCGCCCAACCAGCTATTTGGTTTCTTTTTGATGTGAGAGAATTTGTTAGATGGATTAACCACTTCAGGAAACTACACTTGGCTTGCTTGTACTTTAAGAGTGCACACACATCTGTTCCTTCCATATCAGACAGTCCCATCTGCACACATTACTAACTGATTGAGGCAGGCAGGTTGGTAGTCTTCTGCTGTGTGGTTGCCATTACTATGTATTTTCAGTCACTCGTGTGAGGACCTCCATTTGCTGATTTCTTTTATCACTCACTCCGTACCATAGTTCATGACCATGCAAGGAGACTTGAATGCAATTTGTCTTTGTACATAGCTGTGTCACAATTTTTGCTGCATCTTGATGTGCATCAGGATGATATTTTTCTTTTCCGTGAATTTGAGGTTTTGCTTGCTGTATAATGCAAGGGGAACATGTGTGATCGTTTGTATGCCAGTGAGAAAACTTTTGATTAATTTCTTGTCTGATTTCAGTGCCTATGAATGTCATTTTTACCCCTGTCATGTTTTTTTGTAATGGTTGATTTTGCAAGTTTCTCTCATCGCAAAAATGTAAGTCGTATCATCTTGAACAATTTTGCTTTGAATTTTATACATGCAAACCAGCAGCTGGATTTTTTATTAGTTGTTCAATATGTTTAAGGGATAGTGAGCAAATGTCTGTACGTTTTGACAAAAGGGAAAAAATAAAGTGTTGATTTGTACGGATCATTAAAACATCTGTGTGAGAATGAATTGAAATCAGTGCAACAGAGGGGGTTTTCTAATTTTTTAATATTATTTTTTCAGTCTGAAGTCTTCTGTGCTTGGATGGCAGGGATTTGGTTGTAATGTAGGTTTTGTGTAGATAATGTTTTAATGAACTGCCAAACTAATTGTAGGGTCTTTTTATTTAATGTGATTGTATGAAAGGAAGACTTTTCTTATTTAAAGCATATCAACAGATGTCACTTATTTTTAACATCTGTACTTTAAACTTGCATGCCAAGAATGAGAGTCATTGTGGGTTCAGCTTTGGTGTTCATAACTTACAGGTTTTTTAACAATTGAGATCAGATTATTTGGCTCTATCACATAGTGGAGACCATTTGTTATAGAGACATCCCTAAGGAAAATTACTGGATTCAGAGGTAAAAGGGGTTATTGTCGGAATGCCCAGACATGACTGTATTTAAAGGTAAACGAAAACAATGTTCCAGTGAGGGGGTGATGTCAGTGAAGATTTTGTTATAGTTACTTTTCTTTTGAACAATGTTTCAAACAGGACTCAAAACATAGTGTGTTGCCTAGTTACCTGCCTGCCCAGTATTACAAGACTGTCTATGGTTTTGTGCATTATGAGACAAGAGTTTTGATTACATGTTAATTGTACTGCATTTGGTCATTTTGTTTTAGGACAGTCAAAGAGTGTTTAAAATATGGGCTTAGTATGTACTTTTCATTGCCAGGCAAGTATAATTAATCATTAGTAAAAAATTGAGGTCTTTGAAGTTAAATTGAAACATAGTTGAAATGGACGCGTGCAATATATCTGAATTCAGAGAACTAAAAGAATATGAGAGTTGAAATCTTTTCATCCTCAATTTTTGTCTGTTATTCATTTTTTGTGCCAGTGATTTTGTATCTCCAAACTATGTTGTCCAATTTTTTCTCCACTGTATAAGTGTGTAGATGGTTCGAGGGTACGAAAGCGTGTCTGCATCCTGGTGAAATGTGTGCAGTTTTGTTTTTGCTCCGTTTGTCTTGTTTTTCCCCAAAACACTTAGCAAAAGTTATCATGCCAATGAACTTTTCTTTTTTCGGATGAATGTAATCCAGAGCCCATTGTGCCGAAGCATTGTTACTTACATCTTATCTCTCTCTCAATTCATCCCTGCCAATATCGCCTGAGTATTGCAAACAAGGTGGCTAAGCTGAGACAATTTGAAAGGTTTCATGCTGCTCAGGGGGCTATAGTTAAAAGTGGCAAATAATTACTGAATTGATATATAAGCAAGGTTGCCATTGTATTAGGGGGAATTGGACTAAAATTGTGCTGATGCATGGAAAAGTAATCATATTGTTAGTATTGGTTATTCTGGTATGTGGTAATTTTATGTAGTGCAGAATTTTTTTCTTAGATAAGGGAAGAGTAATTTTAGACCTTTCTTGGTTTCAGTGTGTCAGTTAACCTTTGCCCTTCAATTTTTGTCATCCTTTTGACCTCAGTGGCTTTTAATGTTATGTAGGTGCTTGAATGGACATCTAGCTACATATATGAGGCATTGTGGTGAAATCAGGCGCACATCAAAATTATAAAAACGAAGAAACATACATTTTTACGCCAGTTTGGCAATTTTTACCGAAATTTTGTTTTTTGGCCCGACACCTACCTTATGTGTTCATATAATAACATATTTTCAAGTGTATTTGACTGAAAAACGTTGATTGAAGGTACAGAATACGTAATTTTTCAGTTTTCAAGGACTCTCAATCTGTTGAAGTTACCGAACTTTAGCGGCCATTTTCTCACTAATGTTACAACTGAAACCATGTGACCCCACCTCCTTCAATCTCAAATATCTCAACCTCTATTCAAGATAGATGGATTTTTAAAAAAATTGAAAACAAGGGAAATGGATAAGCTTTTAGATGATAGCAATAACTCCACATACCAAAAAATTGACGAGCGCCTGATTCCATTGCGTCATGACACATGTAAATCAATAAATGGCCAAAAAATTCTGTGAACACAGCAACAACATAAAAATCTCACGTGATGGTCCATATATTCTTTATCCTAGATTGATACGTTATTGTTATATTTTGGATTTAAAACAAGTAAATTTTTCTGCATCCCTTTTTACTTCATCTGCCACAGGCTTGTGGTGTTTCTGGTGATGGAAAAAAAAAGCTCGCTATCATTATAGTTGTTTATTTTGTCAAGAAATAGTTAGAACTAGTCCAGAGGGATGTCTCTGCTTCTTTGAATTCTCTTTTTTCTTTTTTTTTGGGAAGGGGGGGAAGGGGCTAGGCTTGTCTGTACATCGGCTTGTCTGTGTTTTCAAGCTCTTCAATCCCATTTCAAGTTATACAGTTTGAAATGATAATAATTCAATTGTCTTGGCGAAATGGAATTAGCAAAGATTTTTAATAAGAACATTTCAACTATCTTCTTTATTCATCAGATTTTTATATGCTTGTATCTATTATTCATGGGGGGAAAATGGTTTTCTTTTTGTCTGGAGTTTGCACAATTTTATACTTTTATTTGTCTAATTCCCCTTACTCAGTGGAGTCGCGATGGTACTTCCAAAATTTATTAAGAATAGAAATAATTACAGTTTGCTCTTCCAAGAATTTCAAATTGACTCAAATGCTTGTCACGGGTCTGATAAAGATGGTAATTTTTATGTGACTTTTTGAAGATATGTGTTAAGAGTTATTGACCCATTGTCAAGATTTCTGTGCACATCAGATTGTTTATGAAAAATGTTACTTTTTCAGAATTTGCACTGTTTATTCAGTGCTCATCATGTACATTCGTTTTCATTACTTTGGGATTTATAATTATGAGAATGAGTTTTACAGCGCTGTGCTGCATGGTGCAAAGAATTGTTAATTGCAAACTTGTCAGTAGAGCTCCTGTTTATGATGAAAAAGTGGAATGGAAACCTGGAGAGTGTTTTTATGGAGGGTTTTTTTTTTTCATATATTTTTCCTGGACGATGAAATGCTCTTATTTAGGCCTTTCAGCAATGTACATAAGGTAAAGTAAAAATAAGTGCCCATATTTTAGATGTCTTCTCACTTGCATTAGAGCCACGGAGCACTGGCATGACTCATAAGTAGACAACAAGGCTTATGACCAGTGCAGCAAATATAGTTTTCATTTGGTTCATTTGACAAATGTGTATGGTTTTGTTTGTGAAAAAACCATTAGTATTCGTCTCAAGCACCAGTCTCAGCTTTGGCATTTGCTTATATTTCTTACCTTTTACAGCAGTACAAGGGTGCTGAATACTGGACTATTCGTGGATTATTATAAATTACCATATCTTCCAATTGCTCTAGGTAAAGAGCTCATGCAACCTTGATACTGAATCAATGAATTCTAATTTTTATTCTTTTGGAAGTCTTGAGGAATACCGTACTGTAATATAGTGTAAACATAGTTCAGGCATGCTTAGTTTTTCTGAGTGGGGGAGGAGGGGGAGAAACATTAGTTACTGCAGTCAACGTATTATTTTGTACATAGACGGTGGCAGTAAAGAAGTCACTGGTCAGAATTGTGCAATGTCTTAGCTTTGTTGTGTAATGGCACTTTGCTGTGTGCTGTATGGCTTAATGCATGACAGTTTGCAGTTCATTTGTTCTTGCCTGTACATTTGTTTATATAAATGGTTGTGAGGATTGTGTGCTGAATATTATTAGAAAGCCAGCCAACTTCAACATTGTGTTCTTAAATTTAGTCTTCAGCGTTTTACGTCATAATTTATTTGCTTTGTTTTAATATTAAGAACCTTTTATTTTGTGCAATTCTCCCCAGACCAGTCCTCTTTCATTTTTAAAAATCTTATTTGTCAGTGATTGTTTAGAATTTTACTCTTCAGTTGCATTCTGTGTTCAGTTTTTAGCATTATTCTCTATTTCTTTACATACCATTCTCCCTCTAGTGTCTTCTTTTTGACAGTTTTCATGCTCTTTTCCACAAAATATTCTCTCCTAAAGTTCAGCAAACATAAATGTAAAGAGAGAAACATATATTGTTTTATTCTTCTGTTCTAAATGTTGTAACACTTACCTCAGGTTGTTGTGATGCTTGTACAGCATGTATAGATGTGCAGCTCTGTCTGATTTACACTTTCCTTGATTATATTGTTTTTGTCAGGTATAATTCATTTCAGCTTCCTGTTCTACCTTTTGTGTTTTGTTGTCTCTATGTGCACAAATGTCTCTCTCAACTATACACAGCAGCTGTTTAAGATCTAACTCCTAAATGTAAGACTGCAATAATTGCATAATGGTATAAATATATATATAACAATACAGGTGTCACAGCTGTTGACAAAATCACAAAGGCTCTATACTAATTAGTGGCTACTCAGCTAATGGTGGTTTGCCAAAAGAATACTTTTGAAAGTTCAGCTCTTATGAAGTTAGTAAAATTTCTGTAGCTACACAAACCATGACCATGTACTGACGAAATTGTCCAAGGAACCACCCATTGTCGAGGAGAAAAAAGAGGGTTTTTTAGACTGATGGACATCTTGGACAGTGTCATTATAATATATAAGAAATGGGGAGGGAGGAGGAGGAGAGGGTCTCTTGTACAGGTGATTGTCTTGGACAGGTAGCTGTTAGAGCAGGTTCAACTAAATCCTCAGACTATTAACATGCATGGTTTATGTAGCTGTAGTAAAGTATTGAATTCTAAAAGATTCTGTAGATAACCATAACCCACTCTTCTTGGCCTCACTTACAAACCCTTATGTGTTCACATACTCTTAATTGTGTTCAGCTTTAAATCCATTTTATTTTCACCTCCTTCGTATCAATTTGTTTTTAGCTCTTGCTTATGGTTTTTGCCCTCCATCTTAAAGTTTGTTTTCCTTTCTGTTTCACGTTTTTCCCCCCTATCATTTTTAGTTTGCTCTGTGGTAATGTGCATGGTGCATGTGCTTGCTGTTTTCTTGCAGTGTCATGTTGTGGATAGTGCCCCAATAGATGCACCCACCCCTACTGTTGTCATGCCACCTGAGAGCCCCGGGCTTGAGTTCTTAGGCCCTGAGATGGCCAATTTGCAGCAGCTGCTGGCCACCATGACCACAGGTAAGGATTTTAGTTTTGCTTTTCATTCTGTCTGGACTGGTAACACATTGTTGAGTATGAGCACAGGACATCTGTGAGCGGACAGCCGATATCAGAGCATGCAGGGGAACTCAAAAACAGATAGTGCTTTAGTAGTTATATTTACTGGCATGTACATTTGTTTTTCAATTCAATGATGTGGTTTCAAACTGGCCTGAATGTAGTAACGAATCTATACTGAATTTGCAGTCTGAACAATTTTAAGTTTGTACAGATGTCTTTATCAAAGAGCTTACTTAAACTAATTTCCTGATCACATGTTGGAAGTGATAGGAAATTATCTGTTTCCTGTTGTGTGTTCTCAAAGTATAAAAAGTTCTTTATCTCCATTAAAAATTGGTGATTATGCTCTTAATTTTTATAAATTCTCAGCTTAGTGCCAGTTCTATAGGATGCACAAATTTTGCCTCGAACATCTTAATTTTAAGCTGTCAGACAGTCAAAATATGACTGGTCACTTCATGTGCTCATAAATTTGGAATGTGTGCATATTTCAACAATGTTAATATCGGGACTTTCTGTTTTTCCCTAGATGTGGGCTTTCTTTTTGTTGTGCTTTCTGTCTGAGATGTTGGGGAAAGTGTCATATAATAAAATATGTTCAAAGAAAAGCAAAAGGCATAGCTAACAGACAAAGGGTATGGATAGGGATCCAAATTCCTACTCTAATACTAATATAGATCTAGATTAGATTTAGTACTTACAATAAATAAAGGTTTTCATCTGTCAGTTGTTATCAGAATGGGTGTTTCAAAAAAAGCAAAAAGGAAAATGTCTAGTGTGCTTTGCTAGGTTGTGACTGTACTCCGCAAACAGCTTAATCCTGTGTGTGAAAGTCCACAAAAATCTATGTATCTAAAGTTTTTTCAGTGAATCATGGTTTTTAATTCATTTTGTAGTGAGATTGTTAAGTGACTGTCAAACAACAGGTTTAGATTGTGAAGCAAAGATTTAACTAGACAGTGGATATTATTTGTATAATCTAAAAAGCACCGGGTTCAGGTGTCTTGAAAGCGTATGGTTTCAGACTTGGATAAATGGTGGTTAGAGAGTGCCTGTCTATCTCTCCCTCCCTCCCTCCCTCCCTTTCTCCCTCCCTCCCTCCCTCCCTCCCTCCCTCCCTCCCTCCCTCCCTCTCTCTCTCTCTCTCTCTCTCTCTCTCTCTCTCTCTCTCTCTCTCTCTCTCTCTCTCTCTCTCTCTCTCTCTCTCTCTCTCTCTCTCTCTCTTTCTCTCTCTCTCTCTCTCTCTCTCTCTCTCTCTCTCTCTCTCTCCCCCCCCCTCCCCATTACTAACTGACTGTTATCATGTCTCTGTGCTCTTCTTTAACTCAGAATGTGAAACAAAGAAAAACAAAGTTTGTGCCCTTGTGCATGGTTATTTTAACTTGCATGGTTTGCTGGGAGCTTGGCTGCCTATTCTTTTTAGGTTACCCCTGTATATAGGATATTTGCAAAGGTTTGAAAAAAATGATGGTTTCATCATGCATCAAGAAATGGCATAGAAAGAGGCATACATTTCCGTTTCTTCAAACTGATTGTTCATATAGTGGGAGAATATGTGGCTTTGAGTTGTAAGAAGTGGGTCATTTCTTTGCAAGGGGTGCTTATTTATGATGCTTCATCTTTTGTTCAATAATGCCTTGGAAGACATTTTAAGTAATTTTGGCTACTGGCATATGTAGCGTATCGAATATGTGTAAATATTAATAACAACGATTATTTGACAGTGAAAGTTACATGGGAAAGATTTGATATAGCTCTACAACCTTGATAAGCATTGGAAAGGGTGCAAAATTTACCAATGCATTGTCAGGAAATGATTTACCACAACTCAGTTCCCTTGTGAAAGGAAGATGTTAGACTTTTGACTGCATCTCAAATGCTGCGTTGAAGTGAAGAGCATTGCGAGTATTGGGTTCAGATATTGGGGGGGGGGGGGGGGGGCATTTATTTGGTTTCGTAATGCTATTACAAGGCGATAGGGAAGATAGCTTAAGTTCTAATCCAATAAAAGGTTTGCTTTACAATACTGAAGCTCATTTTATCCGAAAATTCCTCAGTGTGAAAGTGTTTGCACTGAGTGTTATTAAAGCAGTTGCTCTAGAAATATCATGTTATGAAAACGATTGGCTTCAATATTGAAGTGCGCTTTTCTCTCGAAATTTCAGTTCTTGTAGTGATTAGTGAAGCTTACATTTTCCTAGATTTGTTACCAGTAACCTTTGTTAATCTTATAGTTCTCGTGAACGCCATAAATTCTTTCTGCAATGATACTTACAGGGTGTGAAATAGAATATGCGTCCTCATGTAAAAATTTTTTGGGCTTTGGGGCTTTTCCTCAGTTGCACTTGGTTTTTTTGTTTCATTTATATACATAGGCTTATGTTCTGCGAAATTATTTTGCAGTCAATTTATTCTATATACTTTCATGTGAATGTTTCTGTGACTGTCATGTTAAGCAGGAGAAACAAAAGATCAAAATATGACTGTGCATAATTTAGCTTCTGTGCCAAGTTTTAAGTGCTTGCAAAGAAGCTATCTCTTTGTATATTTGAAGAGCATTTCACTATTCATAGGCTTGCTTGAATTGATAGTCACAGGTTAGGTTAAAGGCCACAATTTGAATGTGTGAATGTGTATGGCGCATACCTGTGATGCATGGAAAAATGTGTGTGGGCTAATGTATAATCTACTACAGCTTGTTTTTATTCTGTGGTATGCGTTGTCAGATTGGGGGAGGGGAGGAATTGAAGACTCCAGGTAGGTAATTTAAAAATGTACCTACGTATTTTGCAAATGAACACTTTTACGTCTTTGCATTTATTTGGTGGGCTAAGGCTGAAAAAGCTATTGATAAAATTAATAGCTAAAACTACTGTATTCTGCTTCAAGGATGGGGACACCCTTAGCCCTGTCTTCCGAGGTGTGTTTGGCTCAGCAGTATAGTTGGCACAAGATACCCAGTTTTGCGTATTTATCTAATGACAGACAACACCTACAGATTTCATTCTTGGGTTCTATGTAATAGTGAATCTTCCTTACTTTGGGGCCAAAGGTGGTGAAATGCTAATATGTATGCACATGTTGCACAACTTCAAATTTCTTCAAGTCAGAATACAAGTTTGAAGAAGATTTTTGTACATAGACATTGTACATAGATGCCATGAATATGCTGGAAATGACCACTAATGTTCTAAAGAGCTATGGTAGGATAACGCAATGCCTCTCTCTACACTGGATTGGGTCGGGAAAACCTGAAGCAGCCCTGGCGTGGGTCCAGCTGCTCAGATTGTCTTGATCACTGCAGTGCAGTTCATGCTTTAAACTGTGCCCCATTTGTATCTGGGTGACTGGTACTGTGTTGACTTGCAAGCTTTATCACTGTTGACTTACTGTCTCACCTCTACCACTGGGATTTGTCATGTTTATCGCATTTCTCAAAAATTTCTTTTCAAAGTCAAATATTTTTCAATGAAAGAGAATTTTTTTTTTTTTTTCCTCCAATCCTTTGGTGTATGACATTGGTACCTCACCATCAAGGCAAATGTTTTATTGCGTATATCTTGATAAGTACAATTTGTCTTTCTTGGAACGAAATTTGTTAAACACAAATGTAATTAACATTTCAATGACCGCAACAGTTAGATACACTGCTGATTGTTTTCTAGTCCTGCAGGCAAAGCATAAGAAGAAAAAAGAAGAAACATTTTTCTATTTTTTTTACAGTCTATGAAAGTAGAGACAAGAATAAGGTCATCGAATGAGAAACCTGGTGCATAGAAAATATGATACAGCAGAGTTTGTTCATGCATTGTATTCACAAGTGTGACTCAGTTCATGAAACTATTAGAAAGTTTACAACCAATGAGTTTCATCATAATGCTTGTCATCTAAATGTTACAAAAGTTGATGTCATTGTTCCCTGTGTGCGTACCTAAATGCTCCAACTGGACTTCATATTGTAAGGAGTTATATTTCTCATTGTCATCAGGTTTAAATGTGAACATTTTTGGAGACTAAGTGTACCATTTCATTCTTTAAAAATCGCAAAACATGTTGCAAGAACGCTGGTAGTATAAATGATAATTAATTGCTCTCATAGCAAAATAAGGGTTGTTGTTTGGTTTTTTTGTGGTTTATTTTTTTTAGGACTATCACTGGTGGCATTTAACAATGCCCTCATTGTTTGACCTCGACAACTAATATGTTTTGGTGCAATAAATTCATCTTCATTGCATTTATCTCTGTTTGTTCCCTTTGTCTGGACCTTGTCACTTTCTTCTGTGTACATCGTACCTTTATAACACTTTGGGTCTCATTGTCTAAGTGTACTTTTATCATTTTATCGCAAGACAAAGGGAAAAGAAGAATGGTGCCTGTGTGGGGCCCATGTTCTCTTAACCTGTGCCATGTATTACCTAGAAAGAGTAGACACTTTAATCACACAAGAAGAGGAAAAAGATAATTGCTGGTTTTCTATCCTTGCAATTGAAGTGTGTATCTGTAAGAGTATGACTGGGCGTAAAGTACACTGTGTTACACAAAAAATCTACCAAGTATACCAGACTCTGGTGTTATCTGGTGCTCATTTCAACCCAGCCCTTTGTGCGTAGGCAAACTGACTGGTAAATTTGTTTCTATTGAGTCATGGGTCATGAACTTTTTTACTCCAATTCTGATGTGCCGATGAATTAAGGACGCTGTGGTGTGGTCTACTTCTTTTCTATTCTCATTTGGACCTGGAAGAATGTTGCTGTTGTCTTGCTGCGTCTTTAGGTACTAGAACATCACTGTTTCTAAGGCTTAAAAATTTGTCATTGTTCATAAGAATGGATAATGGTGGTTAAACAAAAATGCAACATTTTTATGGATATTACTAGAAATAAAGTTCAATTGAGACTTTTAGCTGTGCATTTTGCAGCGTTCTTGACATTAGAAACAGAAATGTCTGCACTTTTACCTATGTAATGTGATGAGTGCATTGCAGTAGTTTATGGTGAGTTCCATACAAATTTTGTGAGCTGCTGCTTATAAAAATTTGGAAGAGAGCTAATGACTTGGAAATGACTGAATAGAGCATCCTCAGTCCAGATCCTTTGAGACTGGTATTGTTCTAATAACAGCTGATCTTTGTTTCCACTAAGATTGGAGTTTCAGAGCACCTGTATACTTAGGATGGAGCATGTTTACAAACTTGTGGTTTAACACTTCAGTGATAAGGAATTTGTCTTTAATTTTTTATTTTTAAAGTTTGGAATAGATTTGTTAAGAGCAGAGAGGAAGTCATCAATTGCATACATAGGACTTGCCTGAGAGGTGGAAATTAGGTCTGTGCCTTATTTAAATCATCTTACTGAAAGATACAACAGGATTGTGAAGCCTATTTCAGAAATAATTCCAGTGAGCCTTTCACATTTTGTTGTATTGACTTTATCAATTTCAAATGTTCTACATGTTGCTGAAAAAGGTATTATAGGGTAACTCTTAGGTTTCCTGTGTTGAAAGTTTGCCTCAAGCAGTACATTATTAGTATTTAAGTTGTACCTACTACCTACGTCAGTTCTAATTGTTTTTTATACATCATTTCTGTCACCTGGCTTGTTTCATGCCTCTGCATCCTCTGATCAGTCTTCAAGTTTGTTTTTATTTTTTCTTTGCTTGCACAGTACAGATACAGCTTGTTTTGTTGTCATTTCATCTTTTTTAATAGTAAATTCTCGCACCTTTACTGGCTGTCTAAATGAGGGTCTCAAAGGATCTTTTTGACAAGTTGTAAGAAACACATATTCTTCTTAGACATAAAAAGACTAAGGCCATAATTCAGGAAAGTCATTTTTAAGTGAGCGCGTCACCAAGGACGACCCGCGATAGGTCACTTTGCAGGAAAAACAAGAAGGTATGCTGTGATGTTGTTGATGGTTCTATTTACCAAAAAGATTGTGCTGATTTTAATACGTTGACATACTTCCGTATAGAGCAGTTATATACTTACAACAGGGTTTTTGTACTCTTCCCTTTTCCTGGCTTCTTTATTTTCCTCACATTAAATACTAATTTAAGTTTTTTCTTTTGCCCCTCTGCCCCGTCTTTTCTGGTCTGCTTCTTCCCTCCCTTCTTGTTATTTGTCCCAACTTCACAGGTGAAGTCAATTCGAGTCGTACACATGTGACATCGGCCTCACGTAGCTCCCCATCATTTTCTTCACACGCTTCCATCGCCACTCCTTCAAACTCCTCTTTCTCCCAACCTCAAGACAAAAGAGACACACAAAAACAAAATTGTAATATTGACAGTTTAATCCCGACAGTCGTTAGCAACTTTGCCATGTTTAATGACAACTCACCTCCAGATCCCATTAAAAATATCACTGATTCAAACAAAAGTAGCAATTCTAGAAATACCCAGAGTATCCGACCCTCTTCCATAAATTTAGCAAACACTGGCAGTGGAAAGGACGAAAAGAGAACTAGTTCACCCGAGTATCTGGTTGGTAATGTGGCTACTCAGCCATTGATTAGTTCGGCTTTCTCCATTCTGAACCCCTCCCCAGTCATAAGCCCCTCCTCACCTATGATAAGTCCCTCCCCTTTGATAGACTCCTCCCACAACAAAACCCATTCTGCACGAACTACAACACAAAACCAACCACAGCAGTCAGAGACCACCTCTGTAATAACATCGCAACCGCAGTCTTCTTCCCAATCGCCTTCAACACGGCGAAGAAACGCTGCATCCCGATCCCGATCCAAATCTCCATCAAAAGTCCCACACCATCACCACTTCCACCACCACGCTCGTTCGCATTCGTCTTCACGAGTGTCTTCCTCTGGCCCTCAGTCTTCTCTCAAACCCTTGAGTATCAGTCCCAATTCCTCCTACACCCTCACTGCAGCAGCCACTGCATACCTCCGTCTGTCCCCTCCTGCTGAAGTGAAAGCCTCCAGGGTCCATAGTCTGGCTTCCTCTGGCAACGTAGAGGCATTGCATAGTTTTCTCATGGAGCGACCCATGGATGTCCACCTGGCCCTGAGCGAAGGAAGTCTGCCACTTCATTGCGCCTCAGAGAACAATCATGAAGGTGAATTACGAACTGAAATTTATACGGTTGTTTGATGAAACATGAGACACTGGTTTCATGTTCAATGGTTTTATGAAAGACTGGTGTATCTTATAGCATTTTTTTGTCATTTGGAGTTCTATTTATCTGAATTCCTCTTAAAATGTTTTCTCAGACCCGATGTTTGTCTCAATGGCGGGAAATTACAGTGTGGCACCCCCTCTTAATGAATGCACGCCTGGGAAATATTTTGTTAAATGTCCTGGATTAAAGTGATTATTATCATGCTGACCTGCCATGTCATACTTGTCCAGTACATGTATCCTTTTTACTTTTTAAAGTAAAATTACACCACCTTTATTTTTTTCAACCCATTGTGTAAACCTTGACCACATTTCTTTTTTAATTTTTACTTATAATCTAGTAAGTTCTTGCCGTATTACATAAGGCTGAAGTGGGGTCGTGCTGCTCTTCATTTTGTTTGATTCTCTGTGCATTACTCACTGTGTTTATCTCTGTCATGTCCTGTCAGCTTGTGTGAAGCTGTTGCTGGACAACGGAGCCAAGCCAAGCTGTATGAGAGATGACCGTGTGACTCCGCTACACATTGCAGCCTTCAAAGGACACACTGGGTAATCTCTTGACTTTACCTTAAAGGGTCTAGTTTTAGAGTCTATCGCTCCTCCTGCCTCCTATAACCTCCTCCCCCAGTTTAAAAATAAATTTACTTCCCCTTTTAAGCTGTGGAGAGAGGGGGTATAAAAGCTACAAGCAAACTCATAATTTGTCGACCCAATTCAAGATATCACACATGGTTGGCATTCTTATTGCTAATGGTGATTGCAAATTAAAACTGGTAAATGTCTTTTTCTCCCTTTTTCTCTGTTGTTTCTCTCTGCCATCTGCTTTTTTTCTTTTTCAGTCTGTGTGCTGTTTTCATTCAGATTAGATGAGTGGGTTATTCGTAGTTGTAGTAGTGTTGCATACTGCTACTTTTTTTTAAGTTGTTTATTTTCTCCATACTCTATTTGTTAAATTTTTATGTGACCTTTAAGGGTTCAGGATGCTAAAACACTCTTTCTCAACACTGATAGTTTAATTCCTGGAACTATTGCCACTTGAATAAATAAAAATAAAAATCCTTAACAAAGATTAAATCTCATTCTGTATGCAGTGTTCTGTCTGGGGAAAAGTATTGTTTCAAAATCATTCTTGCAATGTCTAGTAATGTGTTGCATCATGGTGATATCAGGCTCTCGTCAAAATAATGAAATTAAAGAAACTGACACGAGCAATTTGGAATGGATTTTTAAATTTTTTTTTTTTTTTTTTTTTTTTGGGGGGGGGGGGGGGGGTTGTTTTTTGTTGCTCAATGCTTTTTATGTCCACTTCAAAAACATATTTCTCTATGGATTTTAATGAAAAACATTGATCCAAGGCACAAAACATGTAAATTTGCAGTTTCCAAAGACCCTCTAATACATGTGACACCCTGTTGTCAAAACAGATCTTTTTTTAAATGTAAAGAACCCCAATTAATTCAAATCTTTTTAGTATGCCCTTCAGAAATGGTTAATGTCTTTTTGAAGGATTATGTCTATGACCAGAAATTACTTTTTAGTTCAAAGTCAAAAGTGATGACTTGGCGTGTTTCTCCAGGCGCTTATTCACATACTCAATGTCTTTATTACCTGGGGCAAAAACAAAACTTGTCGTAATCACTGAAGTTTGTTGTCTACGTGTGCCTGTTACATCAATTTTGTTTTGCTGCTTTTTACATTGTCCTCCATAGAAATCTGAGAGAAGCGGGTGGTTGAAGGGTGCCACTGGTAGGTGTCACTTCTTTACTTTCCCTCTGTTTGTTTCTGTCTGTCTTACTTTTTCCAGCACTAAATGTCCATTATTGTGTCAATGTGCTTCTCTACTTTACTCAAACAAACAAACAAATCTGAGAAGATTTTGAGATGATCTTTCTACCTTCTCAGATGCCTGCGTTGTTTGCTAAGCAAAGGGGCAGCTGTCAATGTGGCATCCGCCAGTAACCAAACTCCTCTGCATCTAGCAGTGAAGGCAGGACATCTAGAGTGCTGTCAGCTCTTGCTCAGGCATGGAGCTAATGTGCTGTTTGCTGGACAGGTATGAAGTGAAACTTAAGCTTATTTGTTTTGAGGGATTTTTTAATTACAATATTAACCGTAGGCCAGGGCAAGATCGACTCTGGGATCGATTCTTTCGAGTCCAAATGAGGACTCAAAGAATCGATCTCATTCACAGACTCAAAGCTTCTAGTCCGCCCAGGGTCGATGCCTCCCGTCTCCTTTTTTTAGCCTGGTTCCTAGCCTAGACTCCGAGAATCGAAGCAAGAATCTAAATCTCTACCGCACTATTACAGTTCTGTCGTGGGATAGGCCTAGGGCTGTCCTGTCCCACAGTCGAGTTTTTCTTTAAAAACAGACACCGCACCAGAACGTATAAGGCGGCTTCTTTGATGTTGGCTTAGGCGGAGTTAAAAATGCATTCCAAAAATTTCTTAAATATTGGCCAAATTTTAAAAATAATAAGATTTTCGTGATCAGCGACAGAAAATTAGCAAAAATTACGAGGGGAACACAATTTAATGGCCAATTACCAAGTTAAATTAATTTTTGTGAGTTTTGTTTACTTATGGGTTTTTTTTTTCACTATTTGAATTTGGCGTGCACTTGGCCTAGATACATGTAGATTCAAGACTGTGTCTTCAAGGTGGATGAATCGAGGTTGCATGTGCCCGTGCTCTGTTGCTTTGTATTAGAAAAAAAGAGAAAGAGAAAACAGTTTTAGGTCATCCTGTCGCTCCGATGTTGTAGCAATTCACAACTACTCGGGACTCAACGCAACAAAAATGTACTGTCTCAATAATAGGTGCGGTACATTACACTCCACTTCAAAGGTTTCAAAGTCAGACGGGTCCGTCCTGGGATGAACTGTCGTAGGCCTAGTGCGGTAGGGGCCTAAGGCAAGAAACAGCCAGTCATTCACTATCAATTGTCTCACGCAACCCCCCACCCCACCCCACCTTCCTCTTCCCCGCTATGAGTGAATGCTAAACTAGGTTTAGGCCTACTTCGTCGTGTCTACCGTGAAGCCCAGTACGAAACCACGCTGCACATAGGCAACTGCTACTTTGAATCTTGTTGCCCCACGCCCGCCTGTTCCAAATTAAATCATTCACTTCCTTTTCCTCTTTCTTTTGTCTTGAACGCTTGCTTTTGAATTTCACTGTACTTTCATTTTCACTGTACACGTATTCTTTTGTAAATCATATTGTGTGTTTTGAGTTGATATCATTGAGTCATCATATCTGGACGTCGATCTCTAGCCTGGGATTTTTTTTTATAAGCAGGAAAACACAGTTGTTTGTATGATTTGTAAAAATGTTTTGGCATACAATTACACAACGTCGACAATAACAAAACATTTGTCATCAAATCATGCTTTGACATATCAGGAAGCAAAGGATGCAAGAGAGAAGGAGCCTGTGTCCCACGCATTGGCAAGAGTGATAGAAGGGAGGCAACCCTACAAGCTTACCTACAACACTCAACACGCGCGCACACACACATACACACACACACACACATACACACACA